GATGCAGGCAGATGCATGTTATTAACTTTTAAAGTTAGCTGTGCGACAAGAGCGAGAATCCTCCAAAGTTAAGATAAATAATAATACCGATTTTCATTCTGAAAGATGGATTTAACTCAAGAAAGTATTTATTTTCATAATATTTCTACAAAAACTTGTATTATACTTTAAAGCCTCTATTAATCGAGTTCCTTGGGTGACAAAAAAATTACGATTTTTTTTGTGAAATATTTTTTAATTTAATGAAAAAGTTATGTAGTTCCAAATAGTTCTGTATAAAAGATTATTTCACCTGATAGGTTATTAAATAAGCTATTGATTGGTGTAAATAACTTGGACCGCAACTGAGTCGGTGTCAATGTAATCTTCGCGCTTCACACTGATTTACTTTAAGAAATGTACCCTACTTTAAAACAGTGTTTTGAAAAGTGTATAGTACCTATTTTTATCTATAAAAAGATTTAACTAAAAAAATTATACATGTTTTCATAATCTTTACACAAAATTTAGCTTTGTAATTTAGATAATTAAATTAATTTAATTCGTTTTGTGAGAAAAATTAACATATATTTTGTTATTTTGTATTATTTTTATTATTTAAATACCGACATTCCGCTTTCTAGTTTTTAATTTATAATATTTTCAATTCGTTAACTTATATTTGGTTTTGGCAAGCACTTTTTACATAATTTGCAAAAAAAATACATCTTAATATTTAAATTTTTTTTAAATTTCAGATTAGATTCGACTTCTAGATAGGTATATTTGGGAAAATTTTAGGTCTCAAAATTTACATTTTTTGATTTTTTTTTAAATTTTGACATCAGATTCGATCTTGCAATAATTCAATACATATTATGTAAACAAATTTTCAATTTATTCGTACGTGTAATTCTATTTTGGCAGAGGTTTCATGCCTTACGAACCACAGTGCGACGCGTCGACTAAATTTGGCCGAAGACCCCGTTATATATTTTTTGGTATTTAAAAAAAAATAATTTTGACCATTGAATCACATATGAGCAGCGATGGTGTTTTTAACAGAAACATCCATAGGCTATCGAACTACCAAAATCCGCATGCAGTAATGAAAAATCGGGTCCATTGTAAAAGAGGTTTCATATAGATGCGAAATACGAAAAATGTTTTCATTGGTCCATTTGATTTGGCGAGAAAAGCTTTTTGACGTTTCGACAGATCCTGCGAATTTGCAAGTTTTGAAATCTGGGAGGCGGGAATTTTGAGATTGATCCAATATTTTGCACAAATTTGTCGTGATGCGCATGCGCATTCATTAATTCTGTCTTCGTTTCAACAATAAGCGCAATTGCACGCCTTCGTCCCAATGGTATAATTGCCACTGGTATAATTCTTCATCCATAATAGAAACACTAAATCTTCTTCTTCTTCTTTGTTTGGTTTGGCCTTTCCCATCCAGGATTTAGCCAGCTGAATTTTATTATTATTATACTGGAGCAAGCGAGTCTAGGATAACCTATAGCTTCTCCTTTTCTTCTTGGTTTTATAGTTTATTAATTATTATTATTTTTGTCACTTTTAGATTCTTTTTTCACTTATTCTCTTTTTATTCACTTATGTCCATCATTTTTGTCTTTTTTAGAGTTTATTCAATATAGCTTATATCAGCAGCGGAAGTCCCTTTTATTATACTTTTACACATACACATACAAAATCACGATATTAGCAGCGGAAGTTACGAGGCAAAAAAAAAGCAAAAAAAAACCGACTATGCACCACATGGCTGTTTGCAGAAATATATTCAATCCTTCAATATTACGACCATCCTGTGTGAAAATCCCTTGCATCTTTACCAATCTATTGTAGATTTTGTGGATTCAGCAATTATCAGCTTATTTATTCGATGAGTTTCATATTATCCACTCAAGGATAGCCGATCCATCTACTTCAGCAGATAACACAAAACTGAACACTAAATCTTAATTCACATAAAACAAGAAATAGAAAATGTTAACCAAGTATTGAAAATATCGCCTGGGGAAAAAATTATGTCCCTAAAATAGTTCGCATCTATATGAATTAGGAGTTGCGAAATGCGAATATTCGTATTTCGCATCTATATGAAACCGCTTTAACGGGTGCGAGATACGTTAATATACAAAAATAGATATTTTACCCAATAAAAACTTGTATAGAAAACATTTTATAACGTCATGAATCGCGTAACGGGCGCGACCTTAGAAAATCGGCAAATGCGACCAAGTTGGCTTCTAAAGTTGATACTGTAAAATTTTGGGTGAAAGCATATAGTAATAGTTTTTTGTGTAAAACTTGAATAGTAACTTCAAACAAGCACGTATTTTAAATGCACAAATATTGTGTACTTTATTTTCTAAAATGTTCTCAAAATGTAACGGGTGCAACATTTGAACTTTTTATCGAGTATTGAAACTTCCGTGTTTATTCTTAATGTTAGCTTCTAAGCATCGCAATGTCGAATATTTCAAGGTTATAAATTGCGTCGCAATTTAACTTCAGATATAGTTTTTATTTTGTTAAATACCACATCTGTTTTTTGTGAAGGTGGGGTAAGTTTTCTCGGAAATACCCCAGGGCAAATTTGGTTTTAATGTTTGAGTGCCCTGTTATATAACAATATTTTGGGAACCAAGTTGGAAGAAGCCCTGAATAACCTGCCAATTGGGATGATATATGAACTATATTCCAACAAGATGGTGCACCAGCGCATACTTTTTACAAAGCACTCATTTTTGTTTGTTGAATTATAAATAATTTTCTATGTTGGAGTTGACTTAGACCCATAATATTATGTTATTAAAATCAGAAAAAAAAATATTTTTAACGAAGTCAAAGACAACTATGCATAGTTGTGTTGTCTGCCATGGCTTTTATTGAAAAAAACTTTGGCCCGTAACTAGAAGCTCCAATGATTTATGTGATATGCATATACAATGTATTAATCCTGAATTCGTAACTCAAATATTAACGGAGCTATAGCTTTTTATAGTTAATATTTGAGTTACGAATTCAGGGTTAATACATTGTATATGCACTTTTTATCACATAATTCATTGGCGTAGGCAGATTATTGTAGCTCTGCCAAAGTTAGTTTTTTTTTTCTTATATATGAGAATTTGTCAAAAATTAATAAATATATATATATATATATATATATATATATATATATATATATATATATATATATTATCTTCTTTATATATTATTTCCTAAACAAATGCCAATCGAGAAAATTGGAAGAAATCATTCAATGTATCATTAAAAAAGAGGACGGGAATGTGTGGTCGAATTTTTGCGATTACTCAGAATTTGTAGTATATTAGTGACTTTTTGAATGTGCCCACTAACATTTTTTTGTACTTGAACCCGTCTCATCGGTGTCGACCTCGAAAGCCCAATTTTCTCAAAAATTGTTTTATTTTCGGTCTTATCAACAACACAGTTGAAGTTATAAAAAAATTGTCAGAAAACAATTTGTAGGAAATTAAATTTCCTACAAAAAAAACCCCTGCATGGATTTTCTGAGGTGCGTAGTCCAAAATATAAACAGTATTAAAATCTAAAAAAAATATTTTAATTTTTATTGTACCTATGATTTTTCAATTTTTTAATTTTTTAACAAAATTAATCTCGTTTCATTTTTTAATATCGGGAAGAGATATTGAAAATTTTTTTTGTTCTTCAAGAACAATAACACTGATTTTACTATCGTGGACACAGACTGTGATCGTGGAGTTTTCAAATGTACGAAAGCATGATACAAGGTAAGTAAAATGTATGATGAAAAGAACAAAGCATCTTAGATTAAAACAGTTTTAATCAGACCTTACTTTATTGTTTTCCCGCGGAAAAATTATAAAAGTTTTTTTAAGGTTAACAGTGCTGTAGATAGAAATAAAATGATCTTTTAATTTTACTTCTTTTTAAAGCTAATTTTGGTATATTTTATGCTAAGAACAAAAAATGGGTAACACTCAATAAATATCAGAAATTCACATCAGACATTTTATTCTTGAAGATGAGACGTTAAAATTTTTTTCAATATCTCTTCCCGATCTTACCGAAAAGTTGAATGAGGTTAATTTTGTTAAAAAAAAGTTGAAAAATCATTAATAAAAAATTAAAATTTCATATTTTTTTTAGATTTTAATACTTTAAACTGTTTATACCTTTTGGACTACGCACCTCAGAAAATCCATACAGGGGTATTTTTGTAGAAAATTTAATTTCCTAAAAACTGTTCTGTAAATTTGTTTTATAACTGATTTGTTAGTAAGAACGAAAATATATCAAATTTGAGAAAATTGGGCTTTCGATGAGATGGGTTCAAGTACAAAAAAATGTTAGTGGGCACTTTCATAGAGTCACTAATATACTACAAATTCTAACCAATAGCAATGAAATACCATAAAATCAAACGGAGCTATATTAATTTAAAAAAATCATGTTATTTAAATGGGAAATATACAATGTAACATTGATCGAAAGGAACCACTTAAAATTAAGAGCTCAAATTTTCAGGGATTTTTTTTTCGATAAAAGGAACAAAATTTTCATGTGTCAGCGAAAAAAAAATGTTCCTTTTAAATGGAGCACCCTAATTTACATTATGCACATGGATGCAATCATAGATTACAAACTAGTAAGACATGAAAGTTTGTATGCACCGCGGGTAATAATAGATGTGTATGCCCTCGGGAGAAATTCTATCCAAAAAGCGCATTGTTTCCCTTATATTTGAGGTTATGCAGGCTATTTTTTTCTCCACCAAACTATCTACTACCCTACTTCTTCCCATTTAAAATCTTTTTTGAATTTTTTTAATATCCTTTTTCCTTTTTGAATTGTATTCATAAATTTCAACGATTTTTTGGGAAAAAATAGTAAAAAACTCGTTGATTTTGGACAAAAAAATAGCTGAACAAATAACAAAATAAAGAACTGTTCATTTTATTTGAAATCGTGAGAAAATTAAAGCTTTTTTCCACAAAACAAGTACCTTCATTGTCGTTCTTGAATTTTTTTGGTTTTTAATTTTTATCACCTTCTGTGCCAACATTCTTAATAGCAGTCTGATAAACTATATCCGTATTGGGATCAAATTCCCTTGTTTTAGAGGGTATTTCCAAAATTGCGGGTATTAAATTGGTTCTATATTTATCCACCGTATCCCGAATTTTGTCCACCACGTCGTATGTAATTAAAATAAGATCAATATCTTTTCTTTTGAAGAAACTCATGAACCGTTCATGTATGACCGTGTCTTCGGTTTGTTGATCGACAACGAAAAAGTTTACTTCGTGTTTGCTGTTCATTTCTCCAATTCCTCCAAGAAGAAACCCGACGCACGTGTCTTCGTCTGCAATAACTGCTATTAAATGGCCCTTAGAATGCATTTTACTGGAATTTTGATGGTTTTTAATACCGGAATTTTAGGTTAAAAATGTCAAAAATTGTGTTTTGGTCATATTTTTTTATAGTCCCTGTATATTAATTTCTAAATAAATAAATAAATTTATTTGTTTTTACAACAGTGTAGTACGATTGTAACGTTGAGTAAAACGATTGTGCTTAGTTTACAAACATTGAATTTATTAACCATCAACAAACGATCTATTTAAGATAAGAAATGCTTATTTCTTAACTTCTAAGTTCTGGTTGATTAATTTGATATATTTATTACTAGCTGTTAACCTGCGGGCTCCGTTTTACCCATTTACTCCATTTACTGCTGTAAGTACCTATATATCTTTAGCTTATCATTTACTCTACTAATCTATGATTTTACCATTGGAATAAATTTGTGATTACTGAATGATGACGTTATGCAGTAATGACTTAAAGACTTATTTTCATGAGGATGAAATATTGCGACACGAGCCGAAGGCGAGTGGAGTAATTTATACGAATGGAAATGGCCATTTCTGAAGAGTTAAACATTATACTTTTTTTTAAATTTTATTAAAGAATTTAGTACAATTTTGTGTAATAACCAAAACCACAGATTTTATGTCAGGGTAAATTATTTTTTTTAGAAACTAATGAACCACCGTATAATCGTAATAGTAAGTATTGATAAATACTACCGTGAAGAAAATTAAATTCTCGTAGTCTCATTGGACATTTAAGCCCGCTGCACAATAGCCGGGTGTCATGAACGGGAACTGGAATCTGAACAGTAAAGGTCGGACAGACCACAGTCTGTGGGACAGACTAATCAACCACTGTGAATTGATAGCTAACGCCCGCTGCACAAAAGCCCGGTAACGGGAAAGGGAATCTGAACAGTAAAGCCCGCTGCACAACAGCGCGGTAACGGGAACGGGAACCTAAACGGTAAAGGTGGGAGAGACTCAGCGAACCCTATCTATCAACAGTGGTTTGTTAGTCTCTCCCACCTTTTATGTTAAGATTCCCGTTCCCGTTACCGGGCTATTGTGCTATGTGGCTTAAAGGTGGGGGAGACTAAGAAACCACTGTTGATAAATAGTGTTTGCTGAGGGTTTTCCACATTTACCGTTTAGGTTCCCGTTCTCGTTACCGGGTGTCAACATTGTTTATATGATGTAAACATACAGTTCGATCTTTAAAAGAAGTAACTTTCGTCATCAATTTACGGATCAAGCTCAGACATTGTATTATATTTCCACGCTCCGGAGCGCTATAGAGGCAGCGAAAGTTACTTCTGGGTCAGAATTTCTCAAACGGGCCACCTGAATTAGGTCAAAATTAGTTTTTGATTGTAGATACATTTTTTCGATAGTATTTTACATCACTAACACAAATCCTAAAGGATTTTGTAAAAAAAAAATTTCAATTGACATATTCATGATATTAAAAGTCAAAGTTTTTAGTAATTAAAAAATAAAAAAAATCATTATGGCTAAACTAATTATCGGATTCCAACGATATAACTAGCGTTGGAATCTTGTTTTGACATAGATTCTTTGTTGTTTTTTTCAATTGTACAATTTTCATTTAGGTCGATTTTTTTTTGTTTTTTTATAACAAATTCGGAAATAATTGGCTTCTGCGCCAGCTATCGACTCGAAAAAAAAAACCACATATACTCCAATCATTTTTCGAAATTATGCTGCTGAGAAAAAAAATGGCCCGCAGGTTGACAAAAAGTTATTCGTCCTTTTGTGGCCGCGCGCGGTGTCAGCTCACGCTCCGAACCGTGTATGCTGTACGCGCTTGCAACGCGTCGCGACGGGACGTCTTTCGGTGGTCTGGAATGGTACTTTTTTAATTAAAATTAATTTGTGACCTTAATAATTGACTTGGAGCCTTGTTTTTTTGTATTTTATTTAGAAATAAATAAGCTTTATACTGATCTAAACAAAAATAATTTGCATTCATTATATTTTGTTTTATAAGGCGCCAAACTAAAAATTACATTTTTCTTGGTACTCACTTGGTACTTCTTGGTACTCACGTGGATTATCTGTCAAATTTTCTACTCCTTGATTTAGTTTGTAACTTTCTTTTAAAAACTAAAGTTATATTTTAATAATTTTCTTAAAGTGACTAAATCGAAATATTTAATTTATTCTATATTTAGTTCGGTCACACAAAATAAGTAATATCTAATAATAAAAAAGAAATGCTTATCGAGCAAGTTTACAGAGACCCGTAAACTCACAAATTACGACGCCCCAACATTTTTTTGACTGGGCTAAGAATTTTTTTAAAAAAGTTTCGTTTAATTTCTGCACTACAGCCGAATACGAAACCGAGCAAAAAAAAATTAAAATCTCGTCTCTCAAAAGCCATCCCGATTCAAAATACAAGAAATTATCATTCATTTCAACCAGCCGCAAAACCGAAACATGTTATTTGTAAGATTATTTCATCTATCGACGAAAGCAATTTGTACAAAATTGAAATGTAAAATATTATTCAGAAGTCAAATTAAATTATTATTTTCGTACTATTTTTTTTATTTTTAACCATTATGGTTAATCATGGTTAAATCATGGATGTAATATTGATATACTGTCTTTTTAAAATCGAGAAAGTGTCACTTTTCCTGCTGTCCAGGCAGGCAATACTGTCACTTTTCCTGTCTAGATTTTAGATTAAAAAAAAATTTTCTTTGCCGTTTAGGCGCTGTTACTTATATTTTATAAACAAAATAAAAATATTTTATAATTTAAACTTATGTAATGTATGACCGAGCTTCATATAGAAAAAAGAACACAAATACGTTTATTAGTAGGTAGGTACAGATTTTTGTTTACATCACGAAAAAAGCATAATTTTTATTTTACCACAAAGTGTTGGTTATAAAAAAATGTTAATATTTAAGTTTGGCGCCATTTAAAACAAAATATAATGCACATAAAATGTTTTTGTTTTTATCACAAGAAACCCCATTTATTTCTTAATAAATCAACAACCAAAACAAGACTCTACAGGCAAAATTTTTATTTTACCAAAAAGTGTACTTTAAAAATTTATTTCTTTAGTTTGGCGCTACACCTATAAAAATACTATGGACATAAAATATTTTTGACTTCCACACAGCAAAGCCAATCAATTTCTTAATAAAACAAACAAAAACCACAAGGCTTTACATTTATTTATAAGTGCAGAATAATTTTTTAAAATGTGTAAAAATTTATTTTTTTGTAAAACATAATAAAATATAATGAGCGAACATTATTTTTGTATATACCAATATAAAGCCTATTTATTTCTGAATTGAATACAAAAAAACAAGCTCTAAGTCAATTATTACGATCACAAATTAATTTTGATTAGAAAAGTAGGTACCATTCCAGATCACCGTAAGACGTCGCGTTCAAGCGCCTACAGCGTACACGGTTCGGATCGTGAGCGGCCACCGCGGTGCACCCACAAAAGGACCAATAACTTTTTGTCAACTTGCGGGCCATTTTTTTTCTCAGCAGCATAATTTCGAGAAATGATTGGAGTATATGTGTTTTTTTTTTTCGAGTTGATAGCTGGCGCAGAAGCCAATTATTTCCGAATTTGGTATAAAAAAAAACAAAAAAAAATCGACCTAAATGAAAATTGGACAATTGAAAAAAATAACAAAGAATCTATTAGATTCTACAAGATTCCAACGCTAGTTATATCGTTGGAATCGGATAATTAGTTCAGCGATAATGATTTTTTTTATTTTTTAATTATTAAAAACTTTGACTTTTAATATCATGAATATGTCAATTGAAAATTTTTTTTTTTACAAAATCCTTTAGGATTTGTGTTAGTGATGTAAAATACTATCGAAAAAATGTATCTACAAACAAAAACTAATTTTGACCTAATTCAGGTGGCCCGTTTGAGAAATTCTTACCCTTCTTTTAAAAATCAAATTGTACACATAAATCTACATTTATATCCAATTTCTTTGCTAGGTACAGTGGTGGATACGACATAATTTGTTTTTGCTTGCACACACATGTGTGATTCTATAAATAGCCAAGATATATCTTACAGTAATGGCCATATTTGCTATCGGTGTCAAAATGACAAGAATAGTGATAACCAGAAGTAAGGTTAGTTGTCCATAAATCTTTATGTCACACTGTCGACAGTGTAGATTTTGATGTCAACGAAATGATAGTCGTTGGAAATTCCGTGTCCGCCCCTTTTCTTTATTTTGAGTTAGGTACCATCACAATCTTTTGTTTTTATAATGGCCGCCATAACTTATGTAGTTTAATACATCGCACAGTAGGCTAGAGCGCGCTTCTAGCGCAAAGAAATTCAAAATAAGTAAGTGTTTTATTTCGACCAAATTAAAGGAATTTTGAATTCTTTAATATCTGTAGATAATGAAACATCTTTAAATTACCTTCAAATCTGTTGAATTTTTATCAGGTAACCATTCAAAGTTTAGGAATTATACTTACTTGCTTCCTGTTGATAAATTGCGCGTAAAGGTATTGCTTCTCTTACAATGTTTATTATTAATTTATTCCTACTTTTTGACTATAATTGTATTAAATATTGTCATACGTTATGGCTGGAACGAATAATGGTTAGTTTTTATTATTATTGTACTGTCACTACCTTAATAAAGTAACCGCTGCATACTTTTAATGTATGTATGGACATTATTAAGGTTTTAAAAAATGTCACTCACTGTCACACTTTGTGTTTAGGTTTTTTTAATAGCTTACCGTTCTGTCTTTCAAATAAATCTTAAATCAAGTGCTAGTAGGCGCAACAAATATGGTTTGTTTATTTTTTTCATTTAATACATTATCCCTAACTCATACGGAGCTTTGTGAAAAGTGTTTTAGTTTGAAGCATTTCAATATAAAATTAGTTTTAAATTACTTAGTAGACTACCCATTTTCAAAAATAGATGTATCTCGAAAAAAAAATTATTCAATTTTTTTTTTAATATAGAAAAACGCTGGAAGCCCAGAATAAATATCATTGTATTAAATATTGTCATACATTGGTGATGGAAACCATCAATTAAAAAGCTACTAATAACAATTAATAATTTTAAATTAATTACTGATAACTATTAGTGAATATTAATACTTTTTGCCACCACCGCGGTAAGCTAGAGAGCGCTTCCAGCGCGCGAAAATTTAAAATGAGTAAGTGTTTTATTTCGACAAAATTTAGTGAATTTTGAATTCTTTAATATCTGCAGCAAATCAAATAATGTTATATCACCTTCAAATCTGTTGAATTTTTATCAGGTAACCAGTCAAAATTTAAGAATTATAATTACTTGCTTTGTGTTGGTAAATTGCGCGTGAAGGTTTTGATTCTCTTACAATGTTAATTCTTAATCTATTTTTAATTTTTGACCATCATTGTATTCAATACTGTCATACGTTATGGCTGAAACAAATAATGGTAAGTTTTTATAATTATTGTACTGTCCCTACCGCAATAAAGAAAGCGCTGCATATTTTTTATGTATGTATGAACAATACTAAGGTTTTAAAAAATGTCACGCATTCTCACACTCTCTGTTAAGTGTTTTTAATAGCTTTTAAATTCTTTTAAATAAATCTAAAATCAAGTGCTAGTAGGCGCCACAAATATTTTTTGTTTGAAGCATTTTAATAGAAAGTTGCTTTTAAATTACAAAAGTAAATGGATCTCGGAAAAAACTTAATTCAAAAATTTAATTTTTTTCAAAAAATATAGAAAAACGCTGAAAGCCCAGAAGTAATATTATTGTAGAAAATACTGTCATACGTAACAATTAGGTTTTATTTTTATATAGTTCAGTTATATTTTTGTAATTTACTCATTAAAACTATAGATCTTAATTTTGCCATCACACAAATATACTTTTGTTAAAGTATTATATTGTCGATTTGTTTTTCTATTGGTAGTAAAAAGTAATTTTTATTGAAATTTTATCAATAAGACCAAAAAAATTAACATTAACTAAGAATTACTTAACCAAATAATTTCTTCGCGTTAAATTGGCTCTCTAGCCCACTGTGCATCGTTGGATTCTATCTAATCATGTCAAATTCCAATATGGCGGAAATATAAAAAAAGTACCTACCTATCTCAAAATCCACTCAACGGTTAAATGTTATTCTAATATATTGTTATTATAGAGAAAGTAGTAAGTGTAGATAAAAAATAGGACCTAATAAAAATATTGGAAAACCATATCGTAAGTTTTCATATAGGTAGGTACTCGTAAATGCATATACCTAGCCTGTTTCATATTATATGCCATTGCATTACATGTTAATGTGTTAAGCTACATTTTCAATCAACTCTGAAGCTAGCTACTATTTCCACAATACAAAATTTAATCAATTTAATACCAAACAATAAAAAAATATTTAGATAAAAATTAACAGAATTAAAAATCACTTCACAAATAATAAGTCAAAGTTTGACTGTCAAACAAAAATTTGCTGTTTTGTATTTACTCACAATTATTCAGGTATTTCCATGAATTTTTTGGCACAGTGGCGGACACAGAATTTTGAACGATATAATTTGGTTGTCCATGTATAAATTTGTAAATAGCAAAGAAACAACCCAGGTAGCATATTGACGTCTGCTGACGTTTAAATGACGTCTTATGACGTCATTTCAACGTCATTTAAACGTCAGCAGACGTCAGTGTGCTACCTGGGAATATTGCCCATTTTTGCTTTCGCTGTCAAAACGACAAGACTAGTGATAACCGGAAGTAAGGTTAGTTGGCCATAAAGGAAGTTAAGATTTTAATATTAATTGAACGAAAGCCGTTCAAAATTCCGTGTCGGCCACTGTACCATTAATCAGGGGCGGCTAGTGCATAAGGGCTGCAGAGCTGCAGAACTCCCAAAATTTTCTTATTACTTGACTAATTTTTTAATTATTTAATATTTAAGTGCGACAGTGTATGAATATTTCAAACGCATGGCTGCATAAAAAGTTTTTATTATAAACATTCGCCGTACTTGGCCACTACAGTCATCCAAACGACCGGTAAAGGTCTCTAACGCTTAACGCTTACAATACAACAAAGCTGGGCCACTTTCGAGTTCTGGCTCCCATTTCAATACCGTAATTTTGCTCCGCGCCGCTCTTGGTCCTAGGTTGAGATAGTGAAATTTAAGCCAAACCGGAGCTGCACCAACATACAGTTCCTACTTCCCGGTCGTTTGTTTTTCGCTTCGCGTGCACGTTTGTTATTTTAACTAGAAGACTGTTAATTCGGTGTATTTTTGTGTTTGTTGTTGTATTCTTTTGTAAGAATGAATGTGGTGTATGATTTAATTATGATTTAATTAATTAACTGTAGGTACCATTTAATTAAATGCCCACTGCGCCACATTTTTTTAAACCCCACTGGCAGAACTCACAAATTTTACTGCCACGAGCCGCCACTGCCATTAATACCATGAATTTTTTGGTACCATTAATAGTACCTATATTATAATATACATATATACATTGATACATACAGGGTGTTATGTAATTAATGTTATATATTAAAATACTGAATACCTTTTGACATAAGGAATAAAGGAAAAATATTTTAAAAAGCATTTTTCCAAAGATAAAGAAAAAATATGCATTAGAAGTTTTTTATATTTTTTGTGATACGCCACTGGTTACACACTTGTTTATCTCTGCACACCTATATTTTGTGAGTACATAGATACCAACCAACAAAGTAGCTATGCGTTACCAGATGTAAAAAATTGTTACTAAAAATTTTTACAAAAGTTTTATGCCCTGAAAGCTCTAATACCCTTCTGTATTTATTTACTGATCCAGCTATTAGCTTAAGCAATGATTAGAAAATTTAGTACCTTTGAAATTTGAAATCCATAACCACAAAATTAATTTTTTCATCAGTTTTTTTCTCTGTTTACTCAGATGAAATTGGCACCAGTTCACAGGTTAAACTTTAAACATTTAATTTGTGTAAATAAATCCAAAAGCACTTCACTTAGTTAAGATATTTACAATTTGAAAACATAACCTAAAATTTAAAAGAAATGCACTAGATTCTGTCATAAAAGTTGGCAGATTTTGTTTGAATTTACCTTCAGTACAAAAATGAAATAACCAACAATTATTAAAAACGCCAAATTGACAATTTGCATTGTTAATTTTGTCATTTTTGTAATTAAGCTAAATTTAAACAATGTTTGTCAACTTTTTTGAGAGATTTTGGAAACATAATAAATCCACCAGATTAACCTAAAGTTCCTAGTCGATCAGTGGCGTACTTTTTGGTAGGATAAAGGTTAATAAATTATTTTTAGACTTTGGAATTTAGAAAAAAAAAGTTTCAGGTGCTTCTTTATGGACCCTAAGGAACAACCCATTTTAATATATAACATTAATTACATAACACCCTGTATATGTATCAAGTTTGATAAACGCCATTTTATACATGAATTTAAATTACTGAGTGTATAGAAAAGTTTATAAACGAGGTGCATACTATACTTTTTCTAAGACAAATACTTATTATTATCTTAAAATGATTTAAATCAAAATTTTGTATAGAGCGCAATCTATGAAACAATAGAGGAATCTGTGTGCCACCGTCAAATGTCAAATTTTTATATTTTATAAACACATAGGTATAATAAAGGTTATAAATCGAAATGTATTTCTTGAAAATTGACAGTTTTTCGCAGTGAAAGTAAAGAAAATGTTTTATGAGCACTTTACAGTGGAGTCCATGCCCGAATTTAAGTTATAGTTTACTGCCGGCGAAATTAAAAGGTCAGTACAATGTTCATATAAACTTTTCAAATATTGGCGTTGAGAAACTATTTAATACTTTTGTATTTTTGTATTGAGATAATAAAATAATTTTCACATTTAGTATTATTTTACAAGAAACGCAATTTATTTTTTATGACATTTGACAACTGTCAACTAACTTCAACCCGTCACTAAAAACCTGTTGCTAACTTCAGCCCGTGACTAAAGCGCCATAAAGCCACAACTTGTCAATGTGTATTTAAAAGGTCACTTAGTGTCATGGAAACATGTACGATAAAGGTGGGTTTTAAAGGTGGGAGTAGAAAAAATATATATATTATATAATATATATTATAACGACTTGCCACAATAAACAATAAGAAATTCTGTAATTATCAATTACTAAATAGTATTTAATAAATAACCTATAAACAATATATTCAATGTAAGAGTACAAAATAAATTTTTTGAACTTCCGGTTTCGCCGGAAATGATATCAACTTTCGATTTTTAAATGGAACGCCCTATATATTTTTACATATTTAGAATCCTGAGAAAATTCGGACAGCATCCTCAAATTGACCTTTCGACGTTTCGTCATCAGAAAATGCATCATCATAAATATCAATCTAGAGTGCTTTGAACTATTTGAGAAAAAGAAATTTTGACAAGTTTAGACTGCTGGGAATAGCTATATTCTTTTTCTATGGGAATAGCTGAATAACAACTTTCTAAGGCAAGTTTCATTTTTTATTGTGTGAATTCATTAGAAGAAAATAAGATAGTTAAAAGTACTCGTCGTTAGTATACGCCACAGAACGACAATACGTGTTATTTTTTGGTATTTGCACTTTTCACTTGGTCTTTGAACGAGTAAGATGCAAAACTATGTTTTTAAATCTTTTGATTTCAATTATTTACTAAACTACTTAATTTTTAAAGGATTTTTTTTTTACTTTTGTGAATAAGAAATCATTCAAAAGCACGTCTATACAATTTTTGCATTTTTGTTTAAAAAATGATGTTATGAGCGGTTTTTCGTGTTTTTATATTAAAATCACTTATCCTGCAAATACAGAGTTGTGCATCTAATGTACTTATATTTAAAATATAAATATGATATTTTAATATAAATTATTGAATATTTGGTAACAATGGCAACGCCGCTCGATCAGCTGATGAACACGCGCGCCCTCTGCGTCCCTTTGCAGAAGTAAAACGGCGTTGTTCGATAAATTATTGAAGCACGTGGATTTATATTCGTTTTAGGTGATTTAGGCGTATATTTTAATCAGTAAGTCTTTAAATGTGTTTTTATTGTTTTATCGTTTTGTTTTGTGATTTTTTTTATATATTTTTATGAAAAATATGGTGTATTTTTGATACTGATAATCCCCACCACTAGATTTGTTTGTTTGATTTTATTTTTCACACGTAATTAGCATAGATGGATTATTATGATAATTAGGCAGTTTTTAGAAACAATATCCTTCGTTACCAAAGTATATGCAAATGCAAAATAATATTTTACTATTCTAAATACTCTTTTAAATAAGGTTATAGCTAAACGTTGCCTTATGAGCTTTAACTTATAACCATGGTAATAACATCATAAATCTTACCTTTCAGTTAAAAAATGGAACCGCGAGGGAAAGGAAGGGCTCGTGGTAGGTCGGTACCTGCTGCAGTTCCTCCAACAGCTCAGAGGCCTGGAGTGCCTCAGCAGCAACAGCAAGGTGGGCCCCCGAGGCCTGCTCCGGGTTTTGGAGGGCCTCCAGCTCCTCAAGGAGCCTGGGCTAATCGTGCCCCGCAACAGCAACAGCCCCCAAGGCCCCAGCATGTTCCCCAGCAAGCCCCATGGGCTAGGCAGGCAGCTCCTCTACAAGCACAACAAGAGGTAGGTATTTTGGGGGTTTAGGGCTTTAAAATAGTTTTTAATTGTTTTCTTTTAAAAATGCAAATTTTTTATAATTTTAAACATTATTAACATACGAGGTTGGTTTAAAAAGTTTGGTAAAAAAGCAAGCAAAAAATAAAAAACAATTTTATTTTTACATGTACTTAATCTTGGTCCAGTAGGTTTCAAATTTTTTAATTCCATCAGAAAAATATGTTTTCTTAAGCCCTGCAAATTATTCATTAACTTCTACAATAATAGCTTCAATCAAAGAAAATTTATTTCCACTAAGCCATTTTTTTAAATTAGGAAACAAAAAGAAGTAACAAGAAGCCAAGTCTGAGAAATAGGGTCGATAAAGCCTGTATTACAGTCTGCAATTACTTGCAGCAACTTTCTTGCATGCAAGTTTTATTGCTGACTGTAATTATTCATTAACTTCTACAATAATAGCTTCAATCAAAGAAAATTTATTTCCACTAAGCCATTTTTTTAAATTAGGAAACAAAAAGAAGTAACAAGAAGCCAAGTCTGAGAAATAGGGTCGATAAAGCCTGTATTACAGTCTGCAATTACTTGCAGCAACTTTCTTGCATGCAAGTTTTATTGCGGCTTTTAAAGCCGCTTTACACGATGCAAGTTTTAGGCAATGCAAGACACTTGCAAGCCCTTGCACTTGCATTGCCTGATCTTTTACACGGTGCAAGATTTGCGCAAGACATGCTGGAGTATGGCATTGCTGCCAACCGCATAAATTTTAAGTTTTGACGTATTATATACATAATCCTATTTATCTGTGGTATTACGCGAGTTGGAAATAAAAAAGTTATTTTAACAACTATATTGATATGTGTGGCAAGTTTAAAAAGAAAAAAATATCAAAAATGCAATTACCAGAAACAAGGAGAACACGTTTAATTTTTGAGGTTGAAATATTTAATTTTTAAATGTTGGTAACCCAAAATTTACCAAAAAAGTAACTAGACTTGCAACGATATTGCATGAAAAATAGCACAGGTTCTATTTATTTCGTCTTGCAAAAGAATTGCCTGGGGGCATGCGTACAATTAAAAACTTTATTGAATTGCTCTTGCCTTGCACGAAACTTGCATCGTGTAAAGCGGCTTTTAAACACTTTGCAATTCCAACCGAACTTGCAATAAAAATCAAGCAGGACCGATAATTTGAAACGGCAATAAACTTGCACGAAACGTCGCTATGCATGCCTTCATGCAAGATTATTGCACGTAGAATTGCAGACTGTAATACGGGCTTAAGGAATTAATTTGATACCCAATTTGTTCAGTTTTGCATTGCAATTGCCAATTTGTGGCGTGGGGCATTATTCTGGTGAAAAAAAGACTTTTTGTGCACCAATCATGGTCGTTTTTTCTTTAGTACAGCTTCCAAACAATTCTGCATAGTAAGCTCTCGTTATGGTTTTACCCTTTTGTAAATAGTCTATACAAATTATTCCTTGGGTATTGCAGAAAACAGTGGCCAACACCTTTCCAGACAACAAAACGGTTGTGGCCTTCTTTGGCACTTATTGACCAGCCACTTTCCACTGCTTTGACTGTTCTTCAACTCAGATGTGTTATGATGGGCCCAGGTTTCGTCCACTGTCAAGGGGCCGCAAAAGTCCCCATGAACTTCATCTAACTCGGTTTTAATTGTGCGGCCGCATGTCACTAGCTGCTTAAAGCACCTCTCTTACCTTACTCCCGCCTTGTCGTTAAGATGATGCTTAGTGTGACCGACTGAATTTCAAATGACGGATTTTAAATTTTGGGATTTTGGAATTTTGCTTGAGTTCTAACCTAAACCTACAAAACGTTCTATTCTGTGTTTTAGACCTGGTCTATGCGTTCTGTAGTCATAAAAACGGCCTTAGTTCCAGACCATAATAAAGTAATTAACGTTTAAATATTGTATTTAAAAATAAATTTTAAATTACCATTCCAATGTTCTCTGGCCTTTATTATCAAAAATGCAACATAACACCTTTATTCACTAAAGTTTTTATTGTAATACCTGTCATTTTAGAATACATAGGTATTTTTTTACTCCTATTGCAATGCAAAAATTGCATAATAAATAATAATTTACATTAAACCTCGTCCTCATGAATAATAGCCTGCATTATCTCTCGTATAATAATATACTACAATTAAAAGCATAGGAATAACAAAACAAAAATAGTAACCCATGGTAGTAGTAGTAAATTTTTTTTATAAACTCCTTGTAGGATAGTAAAAAAAATCAAATTAATTACTGAACCACAAGTATTTGATATCATTAAAGAGCTCTTGATGCAAGCTATTATTTTAAAAACACATACATCATTATAAGTAACGATCTCATTCACAATGTGACTGGTTCTTTACCAACTCTAAATAAGTCCTTTGGATTTTATAGTTTTTATTTATTTTGCAGATTTTTTATGATTTACCAATATATTATTTGTTCTTTAATTTTTCATAATTTTTATACCTATTGTGGTTTTTATTTCTATTTTTAATGATTTTTTTTTAATTTAAACTTTGGGTCTTTTGTTTTGTTTGCAATGATTTTTATAGTTTTTATTCATTTTTTAAATTATTTTGTAGGTTTTTTATTATTCACAAAATTGTTTTTTTCTGCAATTATTTGAAACAATTTTTGTCATTTTAATCAAATTAAATAAATTTTTAGCTTTTTTATCTACTCAATGTTATTAAAATTTCAACGCAATCAATTAAAAATTGTCAAAATGGCACTAAAATCAACAGTAATTTTTAATGATGCATGTACAACTACTTGTACTAATGCATGTACTCCTAAAATTGTAATAGAAAATAAATTTCAAAAACATTCATGTTTGTCATTTTTTACTTTATTTTAGTATTTTTTTTTTTACTTTTTCCTTTATTTTATTAAAACAGTGTCGTAGTTTTTTAAATTAAATGATGACTTATTTTCGGCTATAGGGTGATAAATTGTTATTTTTTATTGAGGTTGCCGGTCGTGGAACGCGCCAAGGCGGCGGTGGCGATCATGCCGTCCCCCCTGCAGCCAGCGGCGGCATTCCTAACGTGATCCTCGGCCAGGGAGACGGTGGCAACCAGGACCCACCAGGTTCGGCTGGACGTCGCGGTGGCGGCGGCGGCAATGGCGGCGTGCGTGGTCGCGCCACCCGTAACGAAATCATTAAAACCCGTCCGGAAACGTTACAAAGCAAATGCGGTAAGTTTATCTAATATTTGGGGCTCTTTTAACAGTAGTTAAAGCATTTTACTAGAAACCTATGTAGTATAAAAAAATTCCAAGGGACAGGAATATAAAATTTACATACATTTTGAGATTTGTCCGCTATTTTCCGAAATCCAGCTTCTTTTTATCAGAAAAACACCTGATCCTTTTAAACATTAACAGTTAACCAACCTTACATTCTCAATTTTTATAGAAATTGCGAGAAGTAAACCCTTTAAATTAAGCGAAACAGTTTTTAGCTTATTCGAGGCTTATACCTAAGATAAGAGGGCGCTGTTGTTCCGTTAATTGTTTAATTTGTACCAAAACAGCAAACGTCAGTACACATCTACAATCAGCGCCGCTGGTGGTGAAAAAAAGACTTAATTTCTGCGGTTTAGAGGGCAGGTTTTGTCAATTTCCCCTATAGTCTAAGATCCCAAGTAAGGTCGACCTTCACCCATCTGCTTACCAGATGAAAATTATATTTTATCAAATAAAATATGTTTCTGAACATAAACCAATAGGGTTGCCATAAAAAATATGATCATGGCTAGCTATAATAAATAAAAAATTAAAAAAATAATTTATTTTTTAAATTTCACCGACTTGCTTGCCAAATGAACGAAATTCCAATGGAAAGCATAAAACATACAGAATATGTAACAGCTAGGTTGCCTACCTTTTTCTGGTCCCTATTTCCTGGTTGCTTTGTACAGGGTGATCCCCTATAATGTCGCCCCCCTTTAACTTTTTTATTTTAAGTGTCCCAAAAAATTTCAAAGTGTGGTTATGTAGGAACTAAAAAATACTTTTTTTCTACGTATAAAGAAAATTGGAAAATTGATCAGTATACAGGGAAAACAAAAAGTTTATTTTTTTCAATGGATCACCCTATATATGAATTTATTTTTCGATTCCTTGTAAAATTCTAAGCATATTTCATATATGATACCATATACCTAAATTCAACCGTTTCTGAAATATTTAAATTATTTTTAAGATAATAAGTTGAAATAGTTTGTTTTTCTCTGTCTGAGTACGCCATTTTTACTTATTTAACAACACTTATTGACATAATGTCACTATAGTAATTTATTTTCAATAAAAATTTTAGTATACTGAGGCTTCTTGATTTCTAACAGTTTAAAAAAACATTTAATGATGACATTTCGAATGCGAATATTTCAGAAACGGTTGAATTTAGGTATATGGTTTGTTATATAAATTATGCTCAGAATTTTACAAGGAATCGAAAAATAAATTTATATATACGGTGATCCATTGAAAAAAAATAAACTTTTTGTTTTCCCTGTATACTGATCAATTTTCCAATTTTCTTTATACGTAGAAAAAAAGTATTTTTTAGTACCTACATAACCAAACTTTTAAATTTTTTGGGACACTTAAAATAAAAAAGTTAAAGGGGGGCGACATTATAGGGGATCACCCTGTACAAAGCAACCAGGTAATAGGGACCAGAAAAAGGTTACATATTCTGTATGTTGTATGCTTTCCATTGGAATTTCGTTCATTTGGCAAGCAAGTCGGTGAAATTTAAAAAATTAATTATTTTTTTTTTAATTTTTTATTTATTATAGCTAGCCTTGATCATATTTTGTATGGCAACCCTATTGGTTTATGTTCAGAAACATATTTTATTTGATAAAATATAATTTTCATCTGGTAAGCAGATGGGTGAAGGTCGACCTTACTTGGGATCCTCTACTACTATTAAGTTCAGGCTTACTTTTCAAAAAATTACAAAATAAGTCCATTTTGTTCAACAAAACACAATAAACTCATTGAGGAGTGATTTTTCAAAAGGCCTTATTTCCATTTTTACTTTAATGTAATTTTTTGACAAAATCCCAAAGGTCTGAAGTATTATTAAATATTCATCAGATTTTTTTTAAAATAATCTATATTGCCCTAACCTATACAGGTTATAGTCATTTTTTTGAAAAATTGTTGCAAATGGAAATACGACCTTTTGAAAAATCACTCCTCCATTGTTTTGTGCTATTCCTTGAAAAACTAAAGTACATTTTTTATTTAATTAGGCACTTCCGGTGCCCATCTAAAGCTGCAAGCCAACTATTTGGAGCTAATCCAAGCCGGAAAATGGTGTCTTAACCAGTATCGGGTTGACATGGTCCCGGAATTGGACAACATCGGCGAACGCAAAGGTCTGATGCGTTTGGCGATGAAAGACGTGCTCAACGGCTATCTGTTCGACGGCACCGTACTTTACACAGTACAAACCATTAACCCCGACCCGTTGGAAAAGTTTGTCGAATCGGCAAACGGCGAAAAAGTCCGCATCACGGTCAGAAGGGTGGGCGATGTCGCGTGGGGAGACTACCACTACATCCAGTTGTTCAACATCATAATCAGGAAGTGCTTGCACTATATGAAGTTTCAGCTGGTGGGAAGGTCGTATTACGATCCGACTTCGAAGATCCAAATCCACGAGCACAAATTGGAATTGTGGCCGGGGTATTTTACATCGATGCGCCAGCATGAGAAAAAGATTTTGATGACAATTGATGTGGATTTCAAGGTGCTGCGGACTGATAACGTTTACGATATGATGTGTCAATCGCGAGACGCCCGCGCCTTTCAAAACAGCGTTATCGACTCCGTGGTTTTGACGTACTACAATAACAAAACGTATAGAATCGACGATGTAGATTTTAAGGCAAATCCGAAATCCACCTTCGCCACAAGAGATGGCGGACAGATTTCCTACATTGACTATTACAAGCAAAAGTATAACATACGCATTCAGGTAAGATTGTATTTTGGACAACCTATTTGTTATTTAGAGGCTAAATTGCGGGCGCCTTTTTGTTACGATCAATATTTTTTTTAAAGGCCGGCTCGCGTTGGAAGTTATACTTTTTGGTGTAACTAAAAGAAATATATAACGCATCCAAATAATAATAATTTATAATAAATTATTAAAAAAATAACATACATTTGAACTGGTTCAAAAAATCGATTTTTTGTCCTTTTTAGAATATGTACTCAAAATTTCATCAATATCGGAGCACTAGAACTTATGTTATAGCAATTTATAGCGCGCTACCTCACGAACATTTAAAGGCAAATTGAATAAACTTTAAACGCGTTTATATCAAAATCGTATTTTTTGTAAAGTGCTGTTGCCGTGAGTACGATTTCTCAAAAACCAATTTACCGATTGATCTGAAATTTGGAAGTGTTGTACCTAATTACAATAGCTCCTTCGTGAACGAAGGAATTTTCATTTGGACGAAAATTTCTACTTTTTTCGGCCGGAAAATCACCGCCATTTGCGTACCGTAAACACGGGTGGCTTTGGCTCACTTTCAAACTTCAGCTTAAAATTGTTGTGGTTTTAACAATCATAATCATTAAATTTTATATACCAAAATTTGAGTCTTGAGTTGCTCTTTCATAATAACTATGTTATAATATTACATAGGGCTGAGTTTCAAAAATAAACATTAAAAACTGGGTGTGCAAAGTTACCCCCTGGTTGCGGGTTACTTTGTCTCACAGTGTTTTTTCAGTATAAAATAAATGTAATATTATATTTTATTTTTATTAGACACGTGTTAGCAGCGACATATATCTATTGCAAGGGATTACCAATAAAAAAAATAAAAAATCGACCTGTAGTTAACCAAGGATCATCATTCCAATGGATATATATACGATATATACAATTTTGAAGTGTAATAAATCCCATTTCTTTCTTTAAAACACTGATTTTCCTGTAATATAAACTCAATAGAATCGCTCAATTGACAGGTTTAGACCAACAAATTATAAATGTTAATTTTATCGAGCGCGAAAAGATTTTTCATAAATGGGTTAAAGTCACCCGCGGGGTGCAAAGTCACCCGTATTTACGGTACACATTTTTTTTTCGTTCACAAAGGGGGTGATACTATGTACTAATAGGGTTTTTTTCATCAAGATCTGTTGGGCGGTACTTCGAAACATACCCTATTCAATGCTTTAAAGTTTTTTTTCAATATAATTATTATTATATACCTACAAAAAAATCACCAAAAACCGTTAATTTTTATGTAAGTAACCCACAGAACACATAGAACCAGAATAAGGGCAAAGCGCGTGTTACCTAAACCTAATCCTTATTTAGACCCGTTCGTATTTTTGCCGTCATTAGTATTTGAGCTTCCGTGGAGTGCACATAGCGATTTATTAAGTGTTATTAAAGTAAAAACTGGGCAAATGCATGGTAAATGGGTGTCGAAATTGTTTTGCTACCAGTTATAAACAAAAAAATAAAGTTTCATTTTTTTCGTAAGTAAAATAATACAGTTAATTAATATTGTTTATCCACGACTACCTTATAATATATACATTATAAATGAGTTTTCTAAAGCAAAATGATAGTCATATTTCACAGAGTGAATAATAGCAGTGAATAATCATTATTCACTGGTCTAGAGTTCCTATAGGACACACGATATAGATTGTATCTGGCAAGCACTTATAAGTTCGTCTACCAATCATAAAAGTCTTGTTAAAGTATTACTTTAATATGTTTTTTTAATGCAATTGAATAAAAATTTAACATTAAGTAGACTATTTCAAGTAAGTAAGCCATTGACATGACATGACAAGCTTAGCATAAATTGCTGTCAATTTGAAACGTCATAACTTCGATTCAGCAGACGATTTTTGTTACAAATTATTATTAAGCTTAAATTATACATAAAAAATCAAAGCGTGAAAGAGAAGAGATGTTACGCACTCAACAAAACATCACAGAAGTCACTTTTCGAAATACGAATTACCTAAAAAATCACATTCATTGGAAATAAAATACTGCATAATCTATAAATAATAGAATTATTATTATCAAGTAGGTAGTAAGCCATGTAATCAACTGACAACTAATAATTATTTGAAACGTCAAATTTTAACGACGCGGTGGTGCAATAATAATTACTGTTAAAATTATAATTTGCTTTCAAAAATACGTTAACAATGGAAATTGATAGTGAGGAAGATATATTGTGTACTCCACCGGAGATAACAGAAGCTGCAAAAGTCACTTCCCTGAATTTGTTGCCTGAGAAATCCCAAAATTTGTATGTATCTGTGTACAACACCTTTATGGACTGGAGAGCGACCAAGAAAATTAATTCATTCTCAAAGTCAGTTTTACTGGTATATTTTATATATATATATATATTACAATTAATATAAATAAATAGTTTTAAAAATAGTCACAGGCATCTTTAATTTTTGGTTTTGTTAATGTCAAATAGGTTATAATAAATATAAATTTTTTGCATTAAAATCCGTTGAAAGACAATAGTAGTCGTGGACAAAGCATAGTATTCTACTCACATATAATGAGCTATTATTCACTCAGGTTAATTATGCCACTCGCTACGCTCGTGACATAAACTTAACCTTCGTGAATAATAGCCCTCATTATATGCTCGTATAATAATATACTATTATTTGGGTCTCATACTCGAACATAATTCGTAGAGATTTAAAGGTTCGGAAAAAAACAGGAAAAATTGGAAAAAAACAGTGTTTTTTTCCGTTTTTTTCCCGAGCCTTGGAAAAATTGAAAAACGGAAAAATTGAAAAAATATTTAAAAAAAAATCGAAAATATAAAAAGTATTTTGATTTGATATAATTTATGTATTAATGAGTGGAAATTAAATAAATATATTTTTGCAGTAGTACAGAAGTCTGTGCTTTGAGCAAAAAGCATACCATTGTGTATTGTGGGTACAATAAAAAACGTATATTTAATACAAGATAAATGTTTTTATGCTTACCGTAACGCTGTAAACGAACGACGATCGGTCTGACGTGTCGGTTCCTAATCAGCTGATCGGGCAGGGTTGCCATTGTGATGTTAAAATTATTGAATATGCTACTAACTCCTGGGTATTGGTATTTTGAATAGTTACCTATACAACAATGATTTTAATGTGAATTACGGCCGTCGGCAACTAGGCTTTTTTCATCGTTAAAAAGCATGACCCTACAGGTGCCTCCCCCGGGGGGCGCCTATACATAACGGGAATTTTTTAATCAAAATAATTTATAAATATTAAAAAAAATATTTAAAATATTTTTAAACATTTTTTTTAGTTTTTAAGAAAATATCAATTTTTCCCAAAATTTCCGTTTTTTCCCAATTTTTCCAGGAAAAAGGTTTTTTTCCGACACTCAATTTTTCCGGAAATTTTGAATCTCTAATAATTCGTCAGAAACCGGGCTGACAGGCCCGTATTTATATTTTGATGGATTCTAATTTATTAACAAAGCAATTTTTATATCACTGAAAATTCATCAATTTGACAACAATAACACCAACCATTTAGTTGAACTAATTAAAGGTGTTTCAGAAAAATATATTGACATTCGAGTGAACTATTTGACAAAAATATCTCATAATGTTAAACCAACTAAAAGGACACTAATTGTGTTTTTATGTACTAGAAAAATCATAAAAATATTATAACCATTATGCAAAATATTATTTTACTAGTATGCTGTTTAAAGTATAGCCAACCCATAAAATCAAAATTTTGGGTGGGGTAAAGTATCTTATTACAGCACCGAAGGCGGTGTTATAATGAAGTCATTATAAACGCAAAATAGATAAAATATATTATATTAATTATATATATAATAGAACTCATGTCATAAGGCCTTTTGTCGCACTCGTTTATTATAAATTATAAATTGTCCGCGTGCGACAAAATTACGTCTTATAACATTATTTCTTTAATATACTATTATAAAACATTAAGTTTAAAGTTAAATCAAGCTTTTTATTTCTTGACCCAAGCTTTATATTTCTTTAACACACTGCACACAACACGATATAGAGTACATATTATGTACATTATAATAATATAAAATTATTAAATAAAAAAAATCCTGAATACCCTCCTGTTTCATCAAAGCGGCGCATCGCTAAAATGATAAGCGTACTCGCATGACTTGTTTCCTCCCGGCCCTTTCTTTCCCCTGATTTTGGCTACACAAGTTTCTATGCCAATTAAAGCGCTTTCTGGTTCTATGTGTTCTGTGATGTAATATAAGTAGGAAATGCGATAAAATTATCAAAGTTTTTTTTATATTTGTCAAACTATTCAAATAGGCAATTAATCCAGCTTAAGGCCAAATTGAAAACGATTTTCGTAAAAAGCGATAATTAACACTTTTAAAAATCTCCAAACTTGTTCAATTTTGCTTAAATGTTATATAATATTTTTAATTACCAAGTTTTCATGATAAACATGATTTTAGGTTGAGGACCAACCGTTGCTGGTGTCGCGCAGCAAGCCGCGCGAAATCCGTGCCGGCATGCCGGAAACCGTCATCCTCATACCGGAACTGTGCAAACTGACCGGTCTCACGGACCGCCAGCGCGAAAACTTCCAGCTGATGAAATCGCTGGGCAATTACACGCGCGTCGCTCCCCAAGGTAGGATCCAGAAGCTGATGGAGTTCTGCCAGCGCATGCGCGCCTGCAAGGAGGTGATCGACGAGTTGAAAAGATGGGATCTGCAGATAGCCAACACGTTGATCGAGTTGCCGGGCAGGCAGCTACCCCCCGAGAAGATTTTCGCCGGCAATCAAAAGCAGTTCTCCGCAGGTCCGCAAGCCGACTGGACCAGGGATCTAAGGCAAGGAATTTTTCTTTATTTTTTTTATTGTTTTTTCGTCTTATATTTTAGTCTAGGTTTTTTTATTTAATAATTTATGACTATTATGATTGTATATTTATTTTCTACTTTTCATTAAATGGCTTTCCTGAAAATTTCTTAAAAACTAATTTAAGAATGGCTAGTGAGAGTGGGGAACGTTCCCTTCGTGCTGTGGCGAATATTCGCAAACGTTCGCGCACAATTAAATCGTTCGTGCGCGCATGATAGATCGTTCTTTCGTGTCCAAACGATTCATCGTGCGCGAACGTTCTCTAGAGAATTTTCAGCACGATTCTTGCCAATCAGCGCGTTTCATCCGCGTGACCCCGTGTATTGCACATAATATAGCCCTGGTAATATCTTCAAATAGTTAACAAACATGCAAAAACTATTGTCGGCAACGGTATCACAAAGACAAAGCGGCATCGGTTTTCCGTATATTACCGCCGGTCTCTTTTGTGGCGATGCCGACCGTAGTTTTTGGATGTTTTTCTATGCGGCTGTTGCGTTTTAAAAATATTTTGACTATTTTGATTTTGATTCAGTTGACACGTTCGATTCGTGGCGTAAAGGTCAGTGCTTGGGTCAGTGTGTGTGATTAGAGAGATTGGGTAGTGTTTTGTTTTCCGCGGGAAACTTAAATATTTGATTTAATAAATATGCCCAGAAGAAAATGCGAGGCATTTGATTTTTTTTCATAAAAAAAGAGATGGTAAAGAGTCTTTACTAAAGACGTTTATTCTTGCAAATTTTGTAATTGTGAATAAAGCCGGCATGCCACACGAATGGCAAATCATTTAACAAAATGTGTAAATTAATACAGTGTCATTTTTCTTAAGAAGCGTTAGGAGAATTTTGAGCATTTTTAGCATTTTGAGAATTTTGAGCATTTTCGGAAAAAAACAGGAAAAGTAAGTTTTTGAATACTTTATCACACCCCAAACATAAATTCTCGGGTTTTTTCGTTTATGCTCGTTTATTCTCGTTCATGCTCGTTTGTGCTCGGGGAACGTTCTTCTAAAATACGTGCTCGAGAATTTTACATCACTAAGAATGGCCAAATACATGGCTTAAAATATTTTAAACATTTAAAATACCAAGACTTACTTAAGGAGTTTTGGGCACAAAATTAGTCGACATGAGAAAATGTTGAAAAAATTGTACGTTGTAGTAGAGTCTACTTAAGAGAAATTTACAAAGTTTTAGAAACATTGACCATCTGGTTTCTTAGACTGACATAGTAGGCCTTGTATTTTGTAAAAATATGGTGTTTTTTACAGTTTTTCAAGATTTACACATTAAAACAAATCCGGTCAAAATCGCACAATAAATAAAAATTGTACAGGGTTGAATTACAAAGAAATGGGTCACACTGTATATGTATATAGTATTAACCAGCTGGAGTGGTGGCACCTCCTGGCATAACATCAACGGTGAATTGAATTTCAGTAACCATTATGTATATTTTTCTTTTTAGCAATTGTTTCTCTTATTTGGATATATTTTCAATATATAGTAAATTTAAAAGTAAACTACGTACACGTCATCAATCAGCTGATCGGGCACGGTTGTCAATGTGATGCTAAAATCCTTGCATCAAGGGAAAGTGCTAGTGCAACTACAGGGCGATAGATAGCGTTTACATGAATAATACCAAAATGTCAAAAGTCTAAGTTTTTATAACCTATATGATGCACCGCCAAAAGTATGTTTTTAGCCATTTTTAAAGACATTTTTGATATAAAACCCAAAAATTTTGCCATCTAAATTCAGTCTGGTATATATATTATTATTTCATGTATCCAACATATATTTTGTTAAATATTCTAATATATAATTAATAATAATCCTATTTACCTCTCTAACAGCTGTTAAAGGTAACAAAGGTCCATTATTATCCCGTTCTGCCTGCAGATATTTTTTCCTTAACCAACGTCCCGAGTCCGCCCGCTTGCCGAGTCCCGCTCGCTGCTTTACCGAGTCATCTCGCGCTTGCGAATTCAGTGACTATAGGATTTTTACAATAAGCTCGGTAGCTCGATGGAAGGGTGCCTGCTTTGCATGCGAGAGATACGGGGTTCGATACTTGGCGCCTCTACAACTTTTTTTAATTTTTTTTATAGAATTTAAATAATACAATGTGGCCTTAAAAGCATTTATATTTAATTTTACATTAATATTTTAAGTTATATAATATAAAATGTAATTAAAGGAATATTCCTTCGTTGAAAAATTTTTACTCAATGGGGCGGGGGGGGGGTCAATGGGGCGGGGTCGGTTGGGTTGGGTTGTTGGGTTTGGGTTGGTTTCGAAGCTTCGCAATTTTTCTGTACCTAGGTAAAGCAGCGGGACTCGGCAAGCGGGCGGACTCGGGACGTTGGTTAAGGAAAAAATATCTGCGTTCTGCCTCAAAATAGCGTATTAAGGATGATACCAACTCTTGACTCCGACTATTTAAATGCTTCGGCATTTTAAATATAGGAAACACAAAAAAACGATATATAACAAACACAAAAACGGCAATGAAAACTTAAACGATATAAAATAACACAAACAACAAGCAAAATAAACGAAATAATACACGAATTAAACGAAATATTCAAAAACACAACTGACAGCTTCGAAATTCTAAAACGTCAAATTCTTTTTTATGTGTCATTTAAATATGAAAAATTTGAATGTAAACATGACAACATCACAATTGTTGCCAACTTAATTTGGTTAAAATGCATTCAAATATTCAATTACAGACTTCGATTTAGTCATTTAGTGTTGGTACCAATGCGTAAAATTTTTGTTTTATTGATGACGTGTACGTAGTTTACTTTTAAATTTACTATATGTATATATTTTTAAACAAGTTTAATTGTTTTGAAATGAAAAATACAAAATGGCTATAATTTGCCAATAAAACATCAGATGTAAACAAACGTAAAAAACATATAGCATACAAAAACAAACAAATATTTTTTTCCTAAAACGTACATAAGGAACTAGATTATAGTAAATTTAAAAGTAAACTACGTACACGTCATCAATCAGCTGATCGGGCACGGTTGTCAATGTGATGCTAAAATCCTTGCATCAAGGGAAAGTGGTAGTGCAACTACAGGGCGATAGATGGCGTTTACATGAATAATACCAAAATGTCAAAAGTCTGAGTTTTTATAACCTATATGATGCACCGCCAAAAGTATGTTTTTAGCCATTTTTAAAGACATTTTCTGATATAAAACCCAAAAATTTTGCCATCTAAAGTCAGTCTCTGGTATATATATTATTATTTCATGTATCCAACATATATTTTGTTAAATATTCTAATATATAATTAATAATAATCCTATTTACCTCTCTAACAGCTGTTAAAGGTAACAAAGGTCCATTACACTAGGCAACAAATTTTAACTTAAAAAAAAGGTCCTGGTTAAAAATAGAATTTTTCGATTGTTTATGACTGAAATCGATCCAAAATGTTTTAAAAAAAAATTTCTGAAGTCGGAAATAAAAAATAGGAGCACAGCATTTTGGTACCATTTATTGCATAGATTTGGAAATTTTAGGATGACGTTACTTTTAACTTATATTTCAGCATTCCATGAACAACATATCTGTACATATTGTAAAAATTTAAGGCATTTTTTTATGTTTACTATTTTTTATCGTTCGAATTATTTTGTTTACTTATTTTTATCGTTATTATTTAACAATTTTTCTTTGTATCATGGTGCTGCCCGTATCGTCTAAACGAGACTTTGGAAAATTTTTTGGTCGCCGGATTTGCGTCGAGCAGGTAAAAATCTATAGGACTGTGCTATTTTTATTACCGACCTTTTTTATTTACTTATTTTTATCGTTATTATTTAACAATTTTTCTTTGTATCATGGTCCTGCCCGTATCGTCTAAACGAGACTTTGGAAAATTTTTTGGTCGCCGGATTTGCGTCGAGCAGGTGAAAATCTATAGGAGTGTGCTATTTTTATTACCGACCCTTTTATTTACTAATTTTTATCGTTATTATTTAACAATTTTTCTTTGTATCATGGTTCTGCCCGTATCGTCTAAACGAGACTTCGGAAAATTTTTTGGGCGCCGGATTTGCGTCGAGCAGGTCAAAATCTATAGGACTGAGCTATTTTTATTACCGACCTTTTTTTATTGTTTACTAGTGTTATTATCCCGTTCTGCCGCAAAATAGCGTATTAAGGATGACACCAACTCTTGACTCCGACTATTTAAATGCTTCGGCATTTTAAATATAGGAAACCCAAAAAACGATATATAACAAACACAAAAACGGCAATGAAAACTTAAACGATATAAAATAACACAAACAACAAACAAAATAAACGAAATAATACACGAATTAAACGAAATATTCCAAAACACAACTGACAGCTTCGAAATTCTAAAACGTCAAATTCTTTTTTATGTGTCATTTAAATATGAAAAAGGGGGTAGCGGGTTAAGGGGGGTCTGGCGGCCCCCACCGAATCTGGTAAAATCGTTCAAAAAATCTTGAAGAGGGTCGAAAAACAAGCAGTATAAGCTTTTTACCGACATTACAACCCCAAACTAAAACACAGTAATGGCGAAAAATATGATTTTTTGTGATTTTTATTTTTTTCAACCAGTTTAATTTATTTTTAAATGGTTTAAACGCAATTAAAAATTTGTTTTGGATGTATGGTAGTCCCCTGAATTTTTTCAGATTTTTTGGTCAAGTAAAAACATGTGAATTTTAGGTTTAAATGCGAAAAAATCGTAAAAAACGCGTCATTTTCAAGATTCAACCCTCTAATTTTTAGGGTTGTTTTCATTTTCCCGAGGGGTGCTGTATAGTATAGATAGCGGCAATCGTCCTCTTTTGAATGCAGGCAACTGGACTCAATTTGGTCAATTCTGGTGAGCGGGGCAATTTTTTGAAAAAAACTCGAATTTTCAACTTTCGGTAAATTACGGCGCGTACTTGGTATAATGCGTCTTTGCTATAAAAAATACATCTCTATAGGGGTTTTTGAGGTCGCTGATCACGAAGTTGAAAATTTTTTGACAACAAATTCACCCATAAATATTTATTAACACAGGTTTGATAATGTAAAAAATATCATTGAATCACAGCATTTAAACAATTTTAATATCGTGTTCAACTAACATAATCAATGAAATTAAATTTTCTGGTATAAATCATATTTTATTCAAGCTTACGTAATAGTCACACAGTAATATAAAATAGCATAATTCTTTTTTACAGAGCTAAGTTAACAATTTTACAGTTTTAATCCTCGTCACTATCTTCTTCAATAACATGTTCAACGCTTTGAACAGAGAAATATTTGTGAGAATCTGTGCTGGACGAATAATTCGCGACAAATATCTTTGTTGTCAAAAAAAATTTTTGACATCAAATTCGTGATCAGCGACTTCAAAAACCTCTATAGAGATGTATTTTTTATAGCAAAGACGCATTATACCAAGTACGCGCCGTAATTTACCGAAAGTTGAAAATTCGAGTTTTTTTCAAAAAATTGCCCCGCTCACCAGAATTGACCAAATTAAGTCCAGTTGCCTGCATTCAAAAGAGGACGATTGCCGCTATCTATACTATACAGCACCCCTCGGGAAAATGAAAACAACCCTAAAAATTAGAGGGTTGAATCTTGAAAATGACGCGTTTTTCACGATTTTTTCGCATTTAAACCTAAAATTCACATGTTTTTACTTGACCAAAAAATCTGAAAAAATTCAGGGGACTACCATACATTCAAAACAAATTTTTAATTGCATTTAAACCATTTAAAAATAAATTAAACTGGTTGAAAAAAATAAAAATCACAAAAAATCATATTTTTCGCCATTACTGTGTTTTCGTTTGGGGTTGTAATGTCGGTAAAAAGCTTATACTGCTTGTTTTTCGACCCTCTTCAAGATTTTTGGAACGATTTTACCAGATTCGGTGGGGGCCGCCAGACCCCCCTTAACCCGCTACCCCCTTTGAATGTAAACATGACAACATCACAATTGTTGCCAACTTAATTTGGTTAAAATGCATTAAAATATTCAATTACAGACTTCGATTTAGTCATTTAGTGTTGGTACCAATGCGTAAAATTTTTGTTTTATTGATGACGTGTAGGTACGTAGTTTACTTTTAAATATACTATACGAAATTAATGTTACATTAGTAGTGGCGCCGAGTCTGCCAGGCTCAAAAATCACATCAAGTCCTCGACCAAGTCTAAATATTACTGATGTTTTAAGCTGGGTTCTAACAAAGAAATAACGTAATATAATTTAATTTAACTTTAAAAGTATTATAATTTAATTTACTTGCGTTCATACAAAAAGTAACGTAATTTAATAGTCTTTGAAATTAAAAAACATATTTTAAAGAGAATGCTTACTTTATGTATTCTAAAACTTAAAGTTTTAGATATATAACTTACTTTGGTAATTACAATCGAAATATTTTTCCTATTATTAAAACCGTTTACACAAAATAGGTTAGGTTAGTACGAAATAACGTAATTTAATTTAAAAGATAAAGTTGGCCAACTATTAAATTAAGTCTTAAATTACATCACTGTATGAACTTTACAAAGGATTCTTGGATTTTTAACTTTTAAGTTAAATTAAATTACATCTTAAATTAAATTACTTTTCTGTTAGAACCAGGCTTTAATTAAGTTAACTGCTACAAACGGTAATGTACTGAATGTTAGGAAGGTACTGAGAATCGGTTTTATATATCTGCACCCCTGCCCTTTTCCAAAGCGATCTTAAAACGCTCGGCGCCACCACTCCAGGGTTAAAATGAAAAATAATTATAAAATCAGTTAGAAAATTGGCTGTAATCAAATGTTATAAAATGACAAAATAAATTTTGTTTTTGTAAGTTGGTACAATGCTCCTCACCTCACCAAGCTTTGACAAAATTTGATCTACATCAAACAGTCATTATAAAATTATAACTTAAAATTTAAATAAATCCCTGTATAGTATTTAGTATTTTTACCATACAATTTCTTCTAAAAAATTGTGCTAGTTTTTCTAATCCAGCTTAAAGTTTAGGTACCTACATAAAATTTTGTCAATACAAGTAGGTATAAAGCTTTGACTAAATTTGATCTACATTGAAAAATCAATATACCTAAATTTTAAAATTTTAATAAATCACATATGTGATTGTGACATACCTATGTAATGAGATTCAATATTTTCACATTGCAAGTTTCTCTAAAAATTGTGTATTTTCATATAATCTAAGTTAAAGTAGGTATGCAGAAAGGTATGCACAAGTTTTGTCGAAGAAGTATAAAAGCTTCAATTATTTAGTAGGTAATATTTATATGACCATATTAACACTCTTCCAAATTATCCAAAATACTTATTTATTTTGGTCAAAATAGATTTTTCTAACCTTAAAATTACAAAATTAGATATTTGTTCTAATTAGGAGTGTCAATCCCGGGATCCCGTAAAAAATCCGATCCCGAAAATCCCGGGATCCCGAAAGTCCCGGGATCCCAAAAGTCCCGGGATCTTAGTAATAAGTTACAAAGAATAAAATATACTTTTTTTAAGCGTATGTGCAATTTTTATTATAATACTCGTAAGCATATATAAATACTTCATTTTTGTACTCCACCACCATACAATAATGAAAATAAATTAAAATTACATAGCAAGCGTAGTTTCATCTACCGCGTTTAGCATAAATTCATGTACAGTCACGTGAATTGAATCAGTACCACTGTTAGGTTTATATTCGCTTACATTGTTTAAGATACTAGAGTAGCATCGCAAGCGGTTTTTGAATGGCCTTGCTACTGAGCTATTGCACTCGACTGTACATAACATATAATATACTACAATAAACGTCAAACCTTAAAAAATGTCACAAACTTGATAATTTCAATGTAAGTTACAGCTGGGGTTGCAGATTCTGTCAAAAAAATAGTAAATTTTGCGAGGATTTACCTTAATTACAAAAATAATACAGTAAAACAATGCAAATTGTTGATTGTGTCATTTTTATAATTAAGATAAATTGTCACAAAATGTCCTTTATTTTTTTGACAGAATCTGACAACCCTAGTTACAGTCCCAATTGGAACTCAAGGCCCGATTGATAAAATAAATGGTATTATTTGTTAATGGGAGTAAACCTGGGTACAATTGTACATTAATGTGCCTACGAATTTTTAAACACCATTCCTCCAACTAGTGTGAAGTCCGAAAGATACCGTTCGTTAGTTTGTTTGTTCCTTTTAAATTGGTTTTAAGATTAATGATATATATTTTTTCGGGACTGATCCCGGGATTAGTTACCTTTGATCCCGAAAGTCCCAGGATTAAAAAAAGGGCTCGAGATTGACACCCCTAGTTCTAATAATATATTAACATACCTTTGACGCAGATAATAATAGAGAAGCTAGATTTTTTTAATAAATGCCGTTTAGTTTAAACTATTGTATGAAAAAAAACAGAATGTAGACCAAATTTACAAAAATATTACTTATTTGGCACCATACACTTATTTTATTAAATGCAGTATTTATATTTCTAAAGTCTTAAACCAACCATTGTTATTGTGATACTATAAAGATAAATACATTTTTAACGCTTAAACATAAGCGGTAAAAGTATAAAGCTTAATTTTCATGTATCCGTTTGTACGTTTTTCAATAAAATCGTCCGATAAGAAATGTTCTAATTTTCATGCATACGTTTTTTAATGACGTTTAACGGATTGATTTGGCGACAAATAGAAATTAAGTGTCAGTATATTTACTTTACTAAATTTACCTAATGCTTAATTGTCATAGTTACAATTATGTCAACAATTGTAACTTTAACAGTTAGCTGTCTAATAAATTTAAAGGTAGGTAAATATACCTTATAAAAAGAATATACTAGCCTTAATGTACATTAAAATGTATAGTTTTAAAGAAGCAGGTCCTTTTAGTTATAGTTTTATTTTTTTTTTGTTTGTCCTTTCCTTTTTTTCCGTTATTCTTATTAAATAAAAACATAAAAGTAGAACATTATTCACATAACGAACGTTATATTTCCGTTTTACAATCTTATTAAAAGAATATTAAAAGATTTGAAAATAAAGTATCTTAAAATAACGTTAGGCGTCAAAAGTAGATGTGTAGTGACAGATTAGTTAAAATTATTTTAAATTTCTCCGTCAGACGTACGAAGTTAAAACTTGACGGACGGAATAAATGTCATAATTTCTTAATTATACTTGGACCAATAAGAGCGCTCCCGGATGAACGGACTGACGGACAAACGGATACATGAAAATTAAGCTTAAATATTATTTCTTTTGTTGACTATACTTTGACAGATACATAACCTGAAAAGACTTAAATGTCAAATTTTCAAAAGACTACTGTACATAGTCACATGGTCTCTGAGGTGTGGAGCATAGTACGTATCGCTATTTATGCAGTAAGTATAAAGGCAAGTCCCCTTGCCCCTTCCCCGCAATGTACTGCCGGTCCTGCTTAAACAGGTTTAAAAACCATATTTAAAAACGCGAAAGAAGCAATTTAAAATGCCATTTTATTATAGGAGCGCCCCTATGCTTGTCAACGCCGATATGTCGCGCATGGCGGTCATCTGCCCGAACAAGATGGCGCGCGACGCCAACGACTTCATCGGCATCCTGCAAAAAGCCGCCCAAGGCATGTCATTCCAGATAAAACCAAAACTTTTTACCATACAACGCGACGACATCAACAGCTACCTCGAACAGATCGAGGAGGTCACCGGCATGAACCCCACTTTGGTGATGTGCATTTTGCCCAACCCCACCGTCGACCGGTACTCCGCCATCAAGAAAAAGTGCACGGTTGACCGCGGCCTGCCCAGCCAGGTGATTATCACTTTAACAAATTTACCGTAATTACCGTAAAAATTTAAGGAATGTAACGATTTTTCGCCTTCTACAGAACTTAAAACATTAGACAGTTATTTTCCTTATAAAGCAAAAATCGTTTCTTACGGTAAATTTGCCGAAATTTGCGTTTTTAAGGTAAATTTACATGTTTTTTTCGCCAACATTACAGGTGATCCTGGCCAAGAATTTAACCAGCAAGGGGGTTATGTCTATTGCCACCAAAGTCGCCATTCAGCTCAACTGCAAGATCGGTGGAGCCCCCTGGTCGGTTCACATGCCGCTTCCCGGGCTGATGATTGTGGGATACGATGTGTGCAGAGACTCTGCAAAGAAATGTAAGTTTTGTTTTTGCAATTTCTTGTAGAGCAGTTATCTATAAAAATTCTTATGAAGTGTTACAATTGTGAACAGTTAATTAGGATTTTTCCTTGTAGCTACAGTTCATTTTTTTTTATTTGGACTCGTGTTTTTTTATTAAGTTGGTAGCTTATGGCAGTTTGATTGAGTGTTTTTAGTATTTAAAAAATGGTACTTTAGCTGAAGACCTTAATTAAGTACTCTGACACTGTCAAATTGAAAGTAATATTTATTATTGTTAATTATTATATAATATCGATATAAAAAGATAATTATGCCAAAAATAATATCAGATTCTAAAGTAAAAGAACTTTTAAGGGCATAACTTCATTTTGATGAAGTTATGACAAATGCCTCAATGGCAGAAAAAGTTATGGACATTTTTGAAGTAAAAAAGTAACGTTTTTGGTTTTACAAATATTAAATCACACATTATTTTCAGCTAAGCAGAATTTAAAAAAAATAAGAGGATAAAAAAACAAAAAATAGGGAGAAAGATTAAAGGACGGGAAACATTTTACTTTGGGGTATTTCCGCAAAACCTTACCCCACCAAACAAACACTATAGCACACTGAATTTCCAAAAAAAATTTACCATTTGAAAAAGAACGTTTTAAATAGTAAATTTCATAAATAAAAATTGCGGGGTTTTCACTAGTTTTGTATTAAGTTTTAAAATGCTTTTTTTTGACAGATTTTTTTGATTACATGACATTATTCCTAATTACATACACACATTTTATACCACTTAGGCTCTAAGACTTGGTAAACGTAATTAAATTAAATAAATGCCGAGCGAAGCGAGGCGGTCTTGGTCAAACAAAAACCCCAGACGCGTTATAACTCCTTATTGGTCGATTTTGATAGTGTGACTCGGACAACGAAAAATATAATAAAATAAATTTTACTGTAATGCAGTTATAAACTCTCCATCTGATTTAGATGTAAGCTCATAAACATTATTAATGTTTTGAATACCTATTCATTTTGAAATAAGTAGCAAACAGCACAAATAAATTGACACCCTAAATTTGCAACGTTGCTGCAGTCCAGATAAAAAAAAATGAACTTTATGTTTGTAGCCATCTAGAATGACTTTAGATGGCGACACTTGTCCTTATCATAAATTGTTTTGTTTATTTTTTTATAAAAAAAAACATTAAAACAAACGCTTTCTTAATTATTAAGGAAGTTTTTTTCAAATTTGAAAAAAAAACAATGTTTTAATACGTTTTTTTTTTCAAACTTGTTTTTCTAACATCACTACTCAAAAACAAATTTTAGAATGTTAAAAACATCTTAAAATGTCAAATTGGATTTTAGCCAAAAGCTTCGGCGCGTTCGTCGCCACCCTCGACAAGGGCGCCACGCGTTACATTAACTTCGTAAACGAGCACGAACATCAGGAGGAGCTCTCCAACCACTTCGCCACCAACATGATTTTGGCGTGCAAAGCGTATGAAACGCAGAACGGCGTAAAACCAAAATGCATCTTGATTTATCGCGACGGCGTCGGCGAGGGTCAACTTCCGTTCGTGCACGAACAAGAAGTGAAAAATATTGAGCAAAAGCTTAAGCAGGAGCTGTATGGCGACACCGAATTCAAAATGGCGTTTGTCGTCGTCAGCAAGAGAATTAACACAAGGATTTTCCACAAAGCCGATAACCCTCCACCTGGCACCGTAGTTGATGACGTCATTACCTTGCCTGAAAGGTAATTTTTTTTGTTTTTATTTGAAAATCATCATTTTTTCAGGACTTCGCTTAAAAAGATTAACCGTCTGGTTTCCGAGTAAAAAATTATTAAAATTGCCAAGACTATACAGCAGTGCTAAGCAAGAAGGTCGCAACTACACTTTGGCTGCTATCTATATATATACGGTTTTTTGAGTACCGGGGATAGACGCAGGATGAATTGTTCTAGTAGAAAATGCCGTAAACCAAAAATCGCAAAATTGTTGGTTACGGCGTTTTCATTAAGCACGGCAGTATTATACTTCTATATTTTCTAGTTATTTCTTCTATTTACTGCATTTTGATTTCTGTCAACCATATTGCATATAGAACTGTCACTGCCACTGTCAAAAGCAAAAAGCGTTACCATTTTAAAAAAATTATCAACAACTCGCAATGTTTTCGCCTTTAAATCCTATTTTTTACATTATTTAATTCACCTCCTTGTGCTACTATATACGTATATGGGCATTTCTTTTTTTGGTTACGTTACAGTTTCAGGCACATTTTTCAAAATAACTTTTTCAGTTTTTTCATAGCCACTCAAAATCCTTTAAAATGAGCTTTGAAGTCATGATACCAACAACAAACAAACCGAGATATTATCACAGTTTCAGAGTACATTAAATGCAAAACTCGGTTTTTGCAAATTTTTAAAAATATATATTTTATACTATTTATGTACATTACTGCCCAGCCTACAGCATACCTAAGTAAACCGGATGTATAAGTTAGTATTTGTAGAATAAAATACATTTAAAACCTTAACGCAGATGCAAAACTGGGTATTTGTTTCTTCCTGTCGGATTCAAAACTCGGTATTTGCTGTTGACCAATCACGTCGCTAGTATACGCATTACGTGACGACATAACAATCACCTGATTAATTGTTATAACAATCACCTGATTAATTGTTATTTTTTGGTATTTGCACTTTTCACTTGCAAAACTTGGTCTTTGAACGAGGAAGATGCAAAACTATGTTTTTAAATCTTTTGATTACAATTATTTATCAGTAAAATACCTAATTTTAAAGGATTTTTTTTATTACTTTATTGAATACAAATGATGCAAAAGCATGTCTATACAATTTTTGCATTTTTTTTTCAAAAATGATCTTATGAACGGTTTTAATGTTTTTCTTAAAATCACTTATCCTGCAAATACAGAGTTGTGCATCAAATGTTTCAGAAGCGTCGCATTTGACACTGATAAAAACTCCTGAGCAATATTTTTTGTCAAGCCTTTCACATTTTGTAAACAAGGGTTTAAGGGATAATGCTGTAGATTATACAGATAAAAAAAATTACGAACACATTACAAATAATTTTATAGCGTTGGTTACGATAAACGCAGCGATTTCTAGTATATGAAAATGCCCCATAAATCTTATGACGCTGACAATGGTCAAAATTGACACTCCCTTGTGACAGAATGTGACGATGTAAAGACCCCCGTAGGGTCACGTGACGAATTATCGAACTCGCCTACCTCCTTAAAATATTTTTTCCAAATATCTTTTGTAATAATCTGACTAAAAATAGATCAAATAAGCAATTTCATTCTATTTACTTTGTCACATGACGTTTTAATGAACCCTCCCCCTCAGGCTTGACAAATCGAGACGTTCCTCCAAATCCCTCCTCCCTCCATCCAGCGACACGAGATTTATGGACACACATAGAAATAATCAAACTAATAATGCAATATCCTATTAAAAACATAATTATGAATGTAATCCAGCCAAAAAAATTAAAATCTATAGCCAGCTGAAACCCCATTTTTCACGTTAAAAAAATAATGTAGATCGCCAACAAAAACATTTTTGTTGGCGATCCACAATATTGTGGTAGATAGACCGCAAAATCGGTAGATCTACCGGAAAATGGGTAGCAGTGGCACCACTATAACCTTATAGGTACTATATACCCTTGGTAGTAAAAATTCCCTAGATTTGTCCACACCAGCAGTAAAAAAATCAATCATCACCATATGTAGGCATGCCTTTTGTATTAAAAAGAAAAATAATTATAAAATCGGTAAGAAAATTGGCTGCTTTTTAAATCAACTGTAATAAAATGGCAAAATAAATTTTGTTTTTGGTACATATTGCTATTTATGCATGCAGTATAAAAGCAATTCCCCTTTTCCCACTATGTACTGCCCAAATCATCTAACTTGCACTTGTTTTTGATAAAAAAAATAGATATTGGATGTTTAACATGTAAAAAAGTAGAGATGGGAAAATTCCCATTTGACGAAAATTCCCGGAAACTTTCCATCGAAATTTTCCGAAAGTTTAAAAAAAAAATTTTTTATTAAGAAAAAAATAAAAAAAATGTTTATAAGAATGTAACTGCAATTTTTATTATATTTTACTTTGGAATATTCCTATTGTATACTGAAACCTACAAAATAAAAATAAAATGTTTACTATTAGAAATTCACTGCTAGTAAATCCTAGATATTACGTAAAAAAAATTAAAAGGGACAAAGTAACATATAGGAATATTAAAAAGTAAAAAGTAAAGTAAAAAATAATTCCAAATACTAGATTTTTTTCTTGGCATTGTGTTATGCCTATAAATAAACAACAAAAATATAAGAATGATTTTAACTTTGTTTATTGTTTTTATTTTCTTTACCTTGTTTTATTCATTGAGGTTATGTAACATAACTTACATTATTTATACTTCTTCTTCTGTTCTGCTTTAAATTAACATACATTAAATTCTTATTCTTATTAAAGTTTCTTGGCCTTGTTTTATGGCCTTAACGAAAATCAGCGGTTAAACAATTGACATTTAAATGAAAAAAAAAGTTTCCAAGGAATGTTTCCGGTAGTTTAAAGGAATGTTTCCGGTAGCTTAAAAGAAACTTTCAAAATGAAAATAAATTCCCAATTGGAAACTTTCCAAAACGGAAAGTTTCCTTAAAATAGAAACTTTCCGATTCCCATCTCTTTAAAAAAGTAGTACTACTTACTTAGTCATTCCAAATATAAAACTATTTATTGAATTGATTTGAAATATTCTACTTTAATTTCAGATACGATTTCTTCATCGTTTCGCAATGCGTGCGACAGGGCACAGTGGCCCCAACATCATACAACGTCATCCACGACACTATCGGTCTTCCGCCAGATAAATTGCAAATACTTACTTATAAATTAACACACATGTATTATAACTGGTCGGGAACAGTGCGCGTGCCGGCTCCCTGCCAATACGCGCACAAATTGGCCTTTTTCACCGCCAAGTTTTTGCATAGGCAGCCACATAGGGACCTAGCAAACACCTTATTCTACTTGTAGACACATTCATGATGTTTCATTCGTTTCTCTCTTTTCCACTTTTCGACGTTATTGAATAAGAGTGAAACTTTGTTTTGATATAATTTATGTTATAATCTCATAAATATTTGATTTTTTAGTTTTAGACTTGTAACTTGTTAATTTTTTATATTCAGACCCTTGATAATCAAGGCTTTATTTTTAAGAAATTTCCCTTTTCTTTTCAAAAATATGAAACAAATTATACTTAAGAATTAACTGTTTTATAAATGTTCTGTTATTTTTTTAAAAATATTTTCATATTTAAACTATAAAAATGTACTTTATTGTTTTATTTCAATGACAAATCATCTAATAAAGGTAAGTATAGATACACTTTCCAGTCTCCTCATGCTAACCCTTGGCCACTGGACGTGTAAACAAACATGATTTGAGGCTTCAAGATGTGTTTTGACAGTCCTTCAGTGTTTTGTATTGTTTTTTTACAAACATTTTATCATGAATCAAATATCGCATTAGTCAATAATACATACCATTCTGTACGTATAAATTTGTATTTTATAAATTAACAATTATAATACCTAAGTATTCAGAACACATTTTCTAAGATTTCTGAAACTTCTCTGCCACTGTACATCTTTACATCTTGAAGCCAAACCAACGCGATGATTTTGACACACATTACGCGTTCAGTATTATACGGTCGAAGGAGAAACCTAATATGGTGAAGTGTCATTTATGAGGCAGGTTTCTATAATAAAAAGGTGACCTAAATGTTGTGTCTAAATATTAAGTAAGTATAGATACACTTAATTGACTTTCCAGTCTCCTGCTGTTTTTTGCTTGTTTTTATTATAAAATATGGCTAAGTTTGTGAATTGGGTTTGAATTAGGAAAAACCCTTGGCACACATTACGCGTCCAGTGTTATACAGTCTAAGGAAAAACCTAATATGGAGAAGTGTCATTTTTATGGGCTATAATCCCAAGTTGGCCTTAATGTTGTGTCTAAATACTACTCTTGCTAAGCTATTAAAAATTTTGTTTTTAATATAAAAGTAAGTAAACAATGTTATTTAAATAATGTTTGTGTCTATAATCTCCCCAGGGTGGGTTAAATGTGGTGTCTTAATACTATAGTAACAATTTATAATTAAATGCTCCTCCTGCTAAACTATCGAAAGTTTTTGATTTGGAATCAAATTTGTACAAAATATGTATTGTCAAAAACTTAAAAATTAAATTAAAAATCACAAAATTGATATGATATCAATTAGGACAAATTATGTATCTATAAAAAAAGGACATTTCAAAACTTCTAAAGCATTCAAATGTACACCTTAAGAACAATTGTTCTACTTGTAGACATATAGTGTCTTTTTGTTCCTATGATTTATGTATCAAATTCAATTAATTTTAATTTGATAGAAAATTGACCTAAATTAAACCATAAAAATGTTCTTTACAATTGTTTTATTTCAATGACAAATCACCCAAACTCTAATAAAGTAGGTATAGATGCACTTAATCTAGTTTCCAGTCTAGCAGTTTCAGGTATTGTTCCTGTGACATTTCAGAAACTTTTAAAGCTTCCAAATGCATCTAAAAATTAAATTTTAACTCACAAAATTACCGAAAATTAACATTTAGCAATACCTTTTGTTTTTTAAGATTGTCTATTAGTTGCATTTGCTTTTTAAAACCGTTTAACAAATCTAATTTGTATTTTTCTATATCTTTGGCAGAATTTTCCAAATCCAAAACTTGTTTCCTGTATTGATCTTTTATATCCTAAAAATGTTTGTATTTATTAGTCACACAAAATATTTTTCTTACCCTTTCATTCTCTTTGGCTTGCTTTAATTCCGTTTTAAATTTGTCAGTTTCCTCCACAGCTCTATTATATTTCACCTCCAAATTACTTATGGTACTATGTAAACTTTTTACTTCCTTTTTCAAACTCTCATTCTCCTTTTTCAGAGACTTATTTTCACCCTCCTTTGCTTGAAATTTGGAATTGACATTAGATAATTGCGCCTCCAATTTATTTACAGCACTTTTAGCGTTGGTATTAGAATTAAACCACTTTTCTTTCTCCTCTTTTAACTGCTTGTTTTCTTTTAATAATTGTTTGGCATCCTCTGCTTTTAAATTGTACTCTTTTTGAATTCTCAGCAATTCGCATTGCAGCGCATTTAGTTTTGCCTTGTAAAAGTGGGAGATGTTTTTCACCCCCATGTCATCTACGCATTTGGGGATGTCCAAATTATCCTTAATATCAATTGCTTCATTTAATTTTTGCGGTTTTTTTATTGTGAATTTTCTTACAGAGTCCAATTCGTTTTTGGTTTTTAACGTTTCTTTCATCAAATTTTCTTGAATTTTCTAAAAGATACAGTACCTACTGATGTCAAAGTCCAAAAAATCAAATTTTATAAATTAATAAAACCAACCTACTTACCATAACATCATTAACTTTTATCATTAGTTCTTTGGTTTTCATTTCCAATTTTTCATTTTCCTTGTAATAGTTGCTTTCCTGTTTTAGTAAGTCAGGTTCCATTTTTGGTAATTTGTCACACAGATTTTTCATATAATTGTCCAAAAATTATTGCTATGGTAACATTATCTTCACTATCATAACTTTTGTCCCTTCAAAAAATAATTTGTTTGGTCCTGGCATGGCAACCAGTAAATAACTTTTTAGGGCTTTTTGTTGCCATGGAAATGAATAAAAAAGGGTGAACTTGACAAACTTAAAAAATTATGTATAAAAGTTTTTTTTTTGTATAAACAGAAATTTATTTACCTAATCAATAACACAGCTGTGTGCACACCCTAGGGTGTGCTTGACAATCTTATAAAAATTTAATATGTAGAAAAGTTATTTTGTTATAAAAACAACAATTGATAAATCAATCCAGCAATTAGTTATGATTATTAATTATTTATAAATTAATGGGTGTTTTATTTACCAAATAAAAGATTATTAAATGCTATGGGTTTATTATTTATTTTTTACAATAGTTTATTTTTAAAATACATTCATTTGTTAGATAATATATTATAATTATATATATATATATATATATTATATTATATTATAAAAAGATTTGATTCAATTAATTACAAATTTAAACATAAGTTAAACAACAAAGATTAAAGCTTTAATTTAAAGGGTTATGAAATATTCAATATAGTACTCATCACTATACTCTGGTCCAATGTAATCTTGATTTTGGGTCTTCAAAATTACTTGAACAACAACCAAAACATTATTTTGGTTTATTTGTGGTACTGATTTCTTAAACTCTAGTTGGGATAATCTACATCGTCTATGATCCAAGTTGTACTCGAGAGCTTCACTTAAACAGTTCTGTGAAATAACTACATAACGTCTACCCTACAAATAATAAAATAAGCTTATTTTATGGAAAAATGTTGAATTCTTACTTGATAAAATGTTTGTCCAGGACTTTCAACCAACAATTTCTGCTGTTTGATCAAAAACTGACCCAGATCGTGAATATTTTGGACCCTCACCACTTTCAAATTACTGTGCTCAGTATCCATGGCCACATTTGCTTCATAAGCAATTTGCTTGTACTCTTCATTTTTATAAGCCGTTAAATCGTAATCCATTCTAGTTACTGATTGATTTCTGTCCCATGTAATAGGCGAATACTTAATAACTTCGGAATACATTTTTGGTGAATTTTTCACAACTGCACTAAACAAAGGCTAAAACCACTTTGAAATAAGGACACGCCCGTATCTCCTTTAATATGCCACAAGTGTTTTGCACAGTGTCAGGGATTCCCCTACGTACGAACCGCTGCAGTGCTAAAGGCCAAAAACTTAAGAAGAAGAAGAAGAACCGCTGCAGTGTTGCCAAGCCTTAAAAAGTCGCCACATATCGCTTAATTGTTCGGCAATCGCCAGATCTCGCTAATTAAAAAATGAGGGATAAATTTTATATTACGCCGTGACTAGAAGTACACCGGGAGTACGGGCATTAAACGTACATCAGGTTTGTGCGCATGCGTGTTTCCATACTAGCTGATGGTAAAATTTCGGATTTATTAGCAGTGTTGCCAACTTCAGCCATTTATGGCTAAATCTAGCATATTTAACAAGACATTTAGTTATAATTTTAAGAAATTCCGGGACCCCGGAATCCTGGCCTTTTTTTAAATATCATCTGGCTATGTTCTGGCTTTATTTTTTGACCCGTGTAAATTTTAAGCACACCATGAATATACATTAATAATATAAATTATTTACAACTTGTAATTTACAAGTTGTAAATTACAAGTAGGTATACAATATATTGTATACATGTGTATCGTGGGTCACATACATACATCTCTGGGTAGCTGCATTTACTAAGAGATGTCGCCTGCAAAAACTACGTCATACGTATACAATACAGATTTCTTTCTTATCATCTGTTCTGCATTTTTCTAATATCAAAGTCTGTGTTAAATATTAAACAAATTTTGTTATTATCCAAGATAGAATCTATAGATACAATACTTATATGATAATAAGGTGTAAGTAACATACACCTTATTATCATATTATTATCATGTATGTTTTTTTTGATAAAACAATAAATTTTTAATTTTTGTTTTAAATATTTCCTTACCAATTTTAAAATTCAGGTGTTTTTTTACTACTTTTGATACGTTTTTAAAATTTAGCCATAATCTAGCCATTTTAAACTTTACATCTAGCTACTTTATTGCATTAAGAGCTGGCAACACTGTTTATTAGTTGAGATTAAATTGGTACAGTGGCTGACAAGGAATTTTGAACGGCTTTCGTCCAGTTAATATTAAAATCTTAACTTCCTCTATGGCCAACTAACCTTACTTCCGGTTATTACTAGGCTTGTCGTTTTGACAGCGAAAGCAAAAATGGACAATATTGTTTCTTTGCTATTTACAGATTTATACATGGACAACCAAATTATAACGTTTAAAGTTCTGTGTCCGCCACTGTACACTAAGGCCCAGTTGTATAACAGTTGGCAAACAGCTGGTTAACTCTTGATATTAATTATGTAATTATTAAGCTAACTTTCAAGTTGTATAAACATTGAATAAAATTTAGTTAAGTGATTGAAATACAATTAAAAACAAAATTAATGAAATGTCAGTATGAATTACCCCAACCAACCCAAACTCAACAACCCAACCCAACCGACCCCGCCCCATTGGGCCCCCCGCCCCATTGAGCGCGAAATTGAGCGACCATTTAATATTAAGTATACAATTGACAAATATATAGCATATGCTAAATAAGGATTTTTTTCCACCCGGTGTACGTTTAATGGCGGTACTCCCAGTGTACTTCTAGTCACTTTGTTTATATTAATGTTATCTGACCATTTCATTTCTGCGAGCAAGCGGTATGGTAGGGAAGGCCCGGGCGCAATGACGTCATAGACTGAGGCCTAATGCCGGGTCTACAATTGTCGCAGGGGTCCGATCGCAGAACATAAGCTTGCGCATAGCACCCGCGACGTGGCGGGAGCAAGGTTTTTTGTCAGCTGGGTGCTTTGTGCAAGCTTATGTCCTGCGATCTGCGACCTGCGACAATTGTAGACCCGGCTTAACGTATCCATTGTTTTTATGTAGAAGAAATAATAAGTTAAACACAAGATCACTAAATAGTATATTACACTACAAGGGCAGAAAGTGTGAGATTCCTGCATCAGGCATCATGGCGCGCAGTTCAGGGCTCTCACACTTTCTGCCCGTGTAGTGTATACTATTTTTCTTACTACCTCGGCCGAAAATACAATCCAACCCAACCCGGTCGAAAATACAGGAAAAAATTGAATGTGTATATCGAAACATATTGATGCCTGCCCCGAAATTTGCGGCACGAGCGAAGCCTTCGTAGCCCTTGTACTGTAATATACTCGAAAATACGTTGTTTCGTCCCCGATTCCAATGCATCAAACGTAAATTTGACCAATGCATCAAACGTAAACTTTCTGCCGTGGAATCGGGGACGAAACAACGTATTTTCGGCCGAGGTAGTAAGAAAAAATAATTATTTTGCGTTAGATAATACTAAACATAACATATTCATTTAAAGTGAGTGAGATTTGGGATTAGCTCATTGGCAGCTTCTATATTATAGGTTCATTTTATTTCATATGTCTATTCTATTTATAATTTATTTATACTTGTATCTACTACCTAATGTTTATTTTCTCTGTATTGACGTTGTACACCTACTGGTTTAGCACTAATAAAGATTATTATTATTATTATTATTATTAAAAGGTTATATAAACAAATTTTTGAACTACATAATACCAACCGCGTTTTAGCGAAACTTAACCGCTACGTCATTCGGTGGATGACGACACAATTTTTAAGTGGGGGACATACCAACCAGTGATGCCAACTTAGCGACTTTGTCGCTAGATCTAGCGTTTTGAGGGATAGTTGTCGCGGCGAATGTTTCAAATTGCGTCATCAAATTCTGACCTAATCCAAGGAACCGCTAGGTTAACCGTATGTCGAGAAATCGGTTTTTGACATTCGACATTGATGTCACAATTTGAAACATTCGTCGCGACGACTTTGAGACATTTTTTTTTATGATTTGCGACGTGTCTCAAACCTAGCGTTTCTTACATTGTGTTGGCGACATTTTAACATTGATAATGAAATTTGTTTTTAAACGTTGGCACGGATAACTTGGCAACGACGCTTCCTTATGTTGTGATTTCGCATTTCGCATTTCTATATGAAACCGCTTTCATACAATAAACCAGCAAGAGTTCTTATATTATTTAAACAATAAAATTATATTATATTAGCGTTGAGTGAAGAAGTTTCCTTAGTCAATATTAGCTTTTGTCGTAAATTTGTCATATATATTTTAATTATAGAAATGTAACTCTCCTGTTAACTGGTTCCGTTAAAAATATCACCAGAAAAGAAGTAAGTTTTAGTTGCGTTTTATTAGCTGACAAGCTGATAGGTACGTTTTATCACAGAACATAAGCGTTTTATTTAATTTAGTCTTGTTTCCCCCACTACGTGTTTTCGGCTGTTCATCTTTACGATATCCAAGATAATCCAACAAGCCATGACTCATAAATAAATTTTAACAGATTCTAACCCCGAAATTTAAACGGCTGCTTCAGAGATGCCGTTAACTTACCCGTTAAATTTGAATTTAGCGCCACGATCGGAAAGGAAGGTTGGTAACCCTGACCTTGCTCCTGTTCTTTGCGGAATGTTTATAAGTTATAAATTATAACCTATCTTTTGGTCATAGATTGTTGTTTATTTATAGTTAATTATTCACAGAAAATAATTATTGCTACGCCGCGTCTAGAGTCCCGTCAGACGGTTCTCTATTGCGCTCCCGTTAACAGAGTGACGTCATCAAATGACGCAATCTTAGGACGGGAAGCAGATCTTCCTTAACCAACGTCCCGAGTCCGCCCGCTTCAAAACCAACCCAAACCCAACAACCCAACTAGGGTTGCCACCTGTCCTTTTTTGGAAAGGACAGTCCTTTTTTTGAATAAAATGTCCTTGTGTCTTTTTTCAATGCTAAATGTCCTTTTACAAGGTTTTGCATATCTATAGATATTTTTGCAAGGTATGTGTATTGCTGATTACAAGTTTTTTTAAATTTTTTTACCGCTAAAATCATTGACAAGATCGTGCCTTGTCTATGGCTAAAAGTTATTTAAGGGAAATGCAATTTTTATTATTGGTAGAATGGCAGCCGTGCCCTGTAAACAGTGTTGCCAAAATAAACAACCCTAACTTTCAAATTGATATGAACCAGCTTTTCAATGAGGTAATGGAAGTTTCAGAAAAATTTCAAGAATATGCAGTTAAAGATAAATTTGTCAAATTAAGTACCCCAAAAAAATGGCAAAATATTTTTCAAAATAAAAAAAATCATTCAAATATGTTTTCTTTAATTTCATATTTGTTAAGTACGTATACCTGCAAGCTCTGCATTTTCAGAACGCATTTTTTCTGTGATGGGCTCCAAATGGACAGACAAAAGAAACCACTGCTCTACAGAACTAATTCGCTCAGAATTGCTAATGGATTGTGCTTTAACTTAACTGGCGAAAGGTGACAAACAGCTGCTGGAGGCAGCCAAGTCTAATAAAAAATATAAATTTAGGTTTTCTAATTGATTACTTTATCAATACACCAATATTAATATTGCTTCTTGCCTTAATATTTGTTTTGTACATACCTACATATCTGTTCTTCAATAAACATTGTAAAGTATTAATATTTTATTTTATTCATGCACAATGCTTCTCTCTAAAAATGAATTAGTCAAAAATAACTAATTTAATAGTTAATAGTGGCTGCTTTTTCACTTTTGCCATGGTTAACCATCGAATACCATGGTATCCCAAAATTTAATAGCCAATTCTTATGTAAAATTTTACCCTGAATCCGAAAATGTCTTCAAAAGTTAAAAAAGTAGAACAGTTTTTGATATATAGTAAATTTTCCATTTAATATGGAATTGACTATATCTCAAAAACTGCTCCACTTTCATAACTTTTGACGGTATTTTCAGATTCGGAGTACAATTTTACATAAGCATTGGCTATTAAATTTTGGGATACCATGGTATTCGATGGTTAACCATATGGTTGCCATATGGCACAAGTGAAAAAGCAGCCACTATTAACTATTAAATTAGTTATTTTTGACTAATTCATTTTTAGAGAGTTAATATTAAATTGTTTATTTTAAGGGTGGTAAACGCCCAAATGTTTTTAATAATGTAACTTTGTCCTTTTCGGCTTTCAAGAAAAGGTGCAACCCTAA